CCCCCAAAGCATAATGTTTCCACCTCCATATTTGATGGTGGGGACGGTGTTTTTGGAGTCATAGGCAGCATTCCTCCTCCTCCAAACACGGCGAGTTGAGTTGATGCCAAAGAGCTCGATTTTGGTCTCATCTGACCACAACACTTTCACCCAGTCTTCCTCTGAATCAGTCAGATGTTCAGTGGCAAACTTCAAACGGGCCTGTAGATGTGCTTTCTTGAGCAGGGGGACCTTGCGGGCACAGCAGGGGATCAAAAAACAAAGATTTGACGGTACATGGCCCCATCCACAGCTGGATGGGGCCATGTACCATCAAATCTTTGTATAAAATACACCTGGGAGCCAGAGATCTTGCTGACTGATAGGGGATCAAATACTTATTTCATTCATGAAAATGCAAATTAATGTATAACTTACTTTGTAATGCATTTTTCTGGATTTTTTTTGTTATTGTTGTGTCTCTCACTGTTCACATAAACCTACCATTGATATTGTAGACTGATCATTTCTTTGTTAGTGGGCAAACTTACAAAATCAGCTGGGGTTCAAATAATTTTTTCCCTGACTGTAAAAGTATTAGTGCAGCTTTAGGATTATGCAGTACAGAAGGTAATACAACGAGTCCCACATGGATCTTGATTTTTATACAGCCCCAAATCAAAAAAGGTTGGGACGGTATGTAAAATGAAAACAAAAGCTGAAAATATCAATGTGTAAATCATCTGTTCCCTGTATTACACTGAAAACAATACAGCAGCACAATATTTAATGCAGCCTATGATGAGTGATTCTGGAGTTGCTTTTCTAAAAAACAAAGCAACTTGCAGCATCATGCTTGTGTTTCTGTGTAATAAATTCAAGTATTTTTTTTAACCAATTGACTGATTCTCAATATGTATGTGGTAGCAATAAGAGTAAAAATATCTTCAAAACCTTAAGTGGGGCTACTATTAAATGGTAAAATCTGTGTAAACAATATATCATGTAGTGCCCAGGCATTTCTCAATTAACATTAAAAGTACATGCTTTGATCATGGATTGTGATGTCCCAGTGTCTTCAACTTCCTCACATCAGGCAACAACTCAGTGTACTTTTTTTAGTCTGCATTTTGACACATTTAAATTCTCAGTCATGATCTAAAAGCACCAATGTCTGAGGTACCGCTGAGAGTCCAGCTTGGGTTGGGGCCTCCTCACTCCTTTTCTTTTAGCAACAGGAACCTCAGCCAGCTTGGACAGCTCGCCCTCTTCCTCCCCTGCATGACATCAGGACAGCTGGTCAGCATCACTTTGCAGGGCAAAGTAAAAATTGGTCACTCAAATCATGACTAACAAATATCATGTGTAGATGTTTTTGTTACAAATGTAGTCACTTCCTTCCACTGAACTTACCATAACTGTCAAATTCTTTGCAAACTTAACCTCTAGAGTCCTGAGCTTTGGAAATCCAAGCTGTGCGGTCCTCATATGAGGACGCAGGGACTCTAGAGGTTAAAGTAGAACCTGAACTAAAATGTTTAATATTCTCTTGATTGATGGATTTCAAAAGAAGGCTACATGCAGCTTCTTACCGTTTGCCAAAGAATCTCTCCCCTCTGGTCCTCCTTGGCCTGGGGAGTGAGGTGGTGGGAATGGAGGGAAAGCCTCATCCTCTATGCCGTCATTTTCCATTAGGTCAGCCATCGCGTGTAACTCCTGGAAGAAAGGTAAAAGCTGCAGCAGCCACAATTAGCTTCATAAACAATGATGGAATTAAGATCCTAATAATTTAACTGCTATCTGTCTGATTACAGAACTGACATTAGTGTAATGTTAATCTCATTCACAGTCTTCTCAGTAAATTATTGTAATACTCTTACCCTGGCCATTACAATTTTGAGGGACAAGTGTTTGTTTTTTTTTTACTTTACAACTTCTAATAAGTCTGTTTACATTTATTTGACAGCTGTAGTCACTAGTTCATCTACAGATTCATATTTTACATAAAAATCTTTGATGACCTTATAAAATACTTTGCTTTGTTATGATTTATCATTACAACAGTAGTCTGTGCATAAAGTTAACACTGGTTGTTAATATACTAATAGGCCTGCCTACAAATAAAGATTATCCATCCATCATCTATACCAGTTATTCCTGAATGGGGCCACAGGGGGGCTGGAGCCAAAGGGTACACCCTGGACAGGTCGCCAGTCCATCACATGGTCAAATAATGATTATTATGTCAAATATCAGAAGACTGAAAAATGCCCATCATAATTTCCCACAGTCCAAGCAGACGTTTTGAGATGTTTTGTTTTGTCCCCCAACAGCTCAAATGTTAGAGAAAAGCAGCAAATCCTTGCATCTGAGAAGCAAGAACCAGCAACCAAAACTGTCGTTTATCAGTGTTCTTGCAATCAACTCATTGATTAATTGTTGCAGCTCTCATTTTTCAATAATGTTATGCATAATAAAACACTTTGTTTATTTACATTGTACAAAAGCCTGAATAATATATAATATTATAATATCCCTATAATATCCACGTTTTCATTTCCGTATTTCAGCTTCTTAGTGTTCAGGGTTGAACTTAGTGTTGATTGGAGTTTTGTTTCTCACTTCAGGATTATCCGCCCCCGAAATATATTACGCTCCCCGTGTAATCACAGTTGTTATCGGTCGTCAAAACCAGATATCGGTCAACCACAACTTCACGGAAAGGCGGTAAACTCAACCAAGACGCAGGCAAAACAGTGTACAAACTGATATGTGGCCCATATTACCTCCCCATAGAGATGCCAGGATAAACTAGACAGTCTGGATGAAAATGGCTTTGTCTGAACATTGGTCGGGTCTAACTTTATATCTGAGTTAGCTAAGTTTGTAGCTGTAGGCGACAGTAAACACCGTGCTGCTAAGCTAACTACGAACTGCTGAGACACTTTGGTTAAGTAGGCTAGCTTAACATGCAATCTACCGGCTGTCAGCGACATGCTAAAACATAACACCCGAGCTAACTGAACCAACAGCATTATAACAGCACAACACATTTTAGTTAAAATGAAATGCCACCATATGAACTTACCAGCTGACTTTAGAAGCTGTCCAGTAGCAATGCACGCAGCAGGGCAAAGCTAGCGATATCAACTTCCGGTATAAAGCCGGGCTTTTTCCAAATAAAATCCAAAGGACATTAACCCAGACAAACCCAATAGAATGATGGATGTGTAGAAGAGTGTTCATATACATATAAAAATACATACAAATGCATTATTATACTTCAAAAAGTATAAGAACTGTAAACAACACTACTTATCAAGAGCAATATGCTTAATATTTATTAACTGTATTAAACAATTGTAGTAAGAAACTAAAAATGTGTAGCATACTTTGTTTCAATGAATGAATATAATAGTGTGCAACCAGAATGACACTAATATGGTAAAAACCATGTAAACTATTGCTGCAAATTAATACTTGATGTGGACGAATTATTTAGGAGTGTTTTCAATCAACTTCGTGGTTGATCATTAAAGATGCACACACAAATAGTTTTACTCCAAAACAAAAACAGAAAACATTATGCTTATTTTCTTGAATTTAAATTTAGGATTTCTGTAATGTTAATCAGATCAATCATTCCCTGTTGTTCAGACTGTTCTTTTATTTGTTTTAGTAGCCTATATAATTAAATTTTTAAATGGTGAAAATAGCTTTGAAACTGCATTTAAACTAGTTTGTAGGGAAGTATCATTTACTAAACGTAACAGTTGAATGAATATATGTGAACTCTAAATAAAAATATAAAAAATTATGCAAATACTTTTAGTGGAAAAGTCCAAATAATTTTAAGGTGATGGCGGTTGTACTGCAGGAATTTGGACTAAAATCTTATGGCCCTGCATAAGACCTTTACGTTTTTCTGCTTGCTTCTAAAATAGTTCCTACTTAAAAGAAGCCTCACTGTGATAAATTGTTATAATATTGTGTATACTCACCTAGCCATGATCAATGCGGGTGACCTAGTTTCCTTTGTCACTGTTGTGGGGCTTTTAATTTGAAGGGTAACGTGATGACGTCATTTTCGTTTGACTTGATGCAGCTACATATACAGTAAATCCACCTTCGACAACACTAACAATCAAGAAAGCAAATATTTCACTCAAAAACGTACTCTTTAAACGTATTTAATGTGCAGCTACATCAAAGCTAAGCTACTACATCAAAAACCACACAAGATCAGTTTGTGAAAATAAAAATAATCATATACCAAGATTTAATTCTTTCTGAGTCATGACAGGTTCTGGCTATTTTAATTTCACATTAACCGCCTGTCCGTTTCTTCAAAACGGAAATGCAGGACAATTAAATCAACAAATTGCTCTGACAGGATAAAGTTTTACAGCAGAGTCACTCTTGGGTTCATTTCTTAAGAGTCAAGGTCACTGATGTCTTACAAAAACAGAGGATGTGACTATTTGTGTCCATGTGTGTTTCTCAGATGCGTCTATGCAGCAAGAACATGAGGAAGACTGCGCTGAGGAGGATGCAGAGTATGCACACAGTGGGAACCACAATCTCTGTTACCGTCTCCATGTGGCCTATCAATGAATCTGAAACACCGAAATGGCAGCTTGAGTAAAATGTGTAGAGATACCTTCATTTACAACCTCAGCCATAAATCACAAGAAAATGGTCCCACTGACCCAAGTTCACCAAATGGTCAAAGTCAACCAGGGGCCTCAGACCACGAGGGACCCAACAGGACTCCACATCATTTGGATCATCATTTGTCAGAAATTTGCACAACAGTAAAATATCGATTCTGATGTGTTGTGACCCCAATCATAAGGAGAGTCCTTGTGTCAAAATCAGATTTTTAAGGCCGTCATTGGGCTCATTTGTTTTAATGTTATTTCAAATTGTTTCATTTTTTTCTGTCAAGTAATTAACAAACAGAGCAAGGCAGTACTATTCCATCACAGTACTATTATAAGGCTGTAACCAACATTTATTTTCATTATCAATCTGACAGTTATTTTCTTTATGAATTGACTGTTCAATGTAAAAATAGAGAATAGTGAAAATTATTACTCATCATTAAGCCCTGAATCCCATATTCTACCTTTTGTTGTTTGACACACTTTAACTGTACAAAAAAAGACTTCACTGATTAATCAGTTATCGCTAAACAATTTTAGGTCAACCAACTAACCAAGTATATACCGCCATGTATAGTGGGGGTCAAAAGGAGCCCAACAACTCTTTGCCCCAGGTCCCCTATGAGGTTAATCTGGCCATGCAAGGACCTTGAAAACATAAAGGAAAAGAAAACTTATGTAATGTGTTTATTTAATTTCCTTTGTGTATTCTATTATTTTTTTATTTGTTTGCTTTAAATTACTTCTCAGTGTATTTGACTTTTGAATAATCAATTTAATTTATGGCTACATTTCCTAATAAAACCCTGTCAGGAGAATCATGTTAATCTCACACAGCAACATATTGACTCTTATGCCTTAACTCATGCACTGGCCAAGCCTTTTGCATTCCTGTATGCTAATGATTTCCCTGGGATTTCTTTCCTAGCTGGAGGGGTGAAACAAAGAAAAACCCTCTTAGATAGTGGAATAATAAGTTTGAGACAGAAATGTCCTTTGTTTGGCCCCACCTAGCTTCCCACAGGCTATACTTTGATTTTTTTATTGTACTAACCTGCCATCAGGAGCTGGTTACTGGAAGAACAAGTCTCTATGGCTTTTCTCTTCCAACTCTCCATCTGTAAAGACCAGATAAACTCCTGAAGCATATTCTCTTCCAGATGAAATTTAAGGTGGAGTGTATTGATAAAGTTTACCTCTCTCTGACTGGGAAAGCCATTAATGCTGATGATGTGTTTATAGTACTGGACAGAGGCCTTTGGATAGCGCGGTTTGTTCTTGCTCCTGAAGTCCACATAGTAGAGCCCAAACCTCTCAGAGTATCCCTCATCCCACTCAAAATTGTCAAGGAGAGACCAGGCGGTGTAACCCTTCACATTTACCCCATCTTTGATTGCTGTAATAAAGACAATAGAGGAAAACCGGCTGACTCAAATATAAACCAGACACTCGAAGTTTTTCATTAAATGTGTGTTCAACAGAGTTGTTATTTCACCTTTGAGCATTTCATTGATGTAGTCTTTGAAGTATTGCATTCTCCAGTCGTCACAGAGGTCGGTGCAGAGAGCTTTCTCTGACACACCGTTCTCTGTCACATAGATCATGGGGTTGCCGTACTGAGTCTATAAGCAAGACGCCCAATCAGATTCAGGTTAGACACCAGGCATACTCATATATTCATATTACTATGCATATGTATTTAGTTATTCAACATATGTCATGTTTGGTAGCCAATATCTTTATAGGTGCCTCATTAAAATGTGTCATATGAGTTTATGTGAAATTTGTTTTTTCATTACAAACCTAATTTTTAACTCCTATTTCTTTTGGGAAATACACTAATTGGCTTCACTACTGAGAGCTAGATTAATGGAGCCAAAATTGTTTTAGTGTAGCAAAAAGCCTGGAAGCAGGTGGAAACCGCTGGCCTGGGCCTGTACAAAGTTTAAAAATCCTCCTTCCAGCAACTCTAAAGCTTATTAGTACACATGCATCTTTAATCTGTACAAAAACATTAACGTGTAAATGAGAAGTTAATGTTTTCAGATTTGTGTTTGAGTACCTTGACAAAGTTCAACAAGCGTCGGAAGCCCCAGGGAACTGAATAGAGCCATTCAGAGCCAGGATCAGGCCACTGTGGGTCAACCAGCTCAGCAAGGTCACGATCTGTGAAGTAGCTGTCTTCAAGGCCTGATGGGTAGTTCTTCTGGGTGATGTAGCGGGTTGTAAAATGGCCAATTCCCAGGAAGTCACAGGTTCCCTTAATGTAACTCTTCTCCTGAGGTGAGAAGACGGGCAGCCGCGAAGCTCCCACTCCCTGCTGGCCACTCTTCCTGCCTGAATGTTCAACACATTTTGTAGTGAAACTCAGGTATCACCTGAAAAGCTGAATCAGCTGCTGCATGTATGGTCATAACCCACAAATAGAAATTTTCTCTAGTTTGTTTAAAAAAAAAAAAGAAATCATGCAGCACTTCTGAAGAACTGTTATAGTTAGTAAGGGTGTCAGGTGTCATTTTGTCCCATTCTTCCTGCAAGAAAGTCTTAAAGTGCAGAACAGTCCTGGGTCTTTGTTGACAGTTTCAAAACGCGCCACACATTCTCTACTGGGGACAGGTCGGGACTGCAGACAGGCCAGTCCAGCACTCACACCCTTTTCCTCCACAAACAGGCCTTGGTCATGTGCAAAATGAGGTTTTGCATTGTCTTGTTGAAATGTGCATGGGCGTCCCTGGAAAAGATGTCGTCTTGAAGGCAGCATATGTTGCTCTAAAATCTCTTTGTATTTGTCAGCATTAATGGTGCCATGACAGAGGTGCAAGTTACATTTGCCAAGGGCACTGACACAACCCCAGACCATGACAGACCCTGGCTTTTGGACTTGATGCTGGTAACAGTCTGAATGGTTCTTTTCATCTTTGGACCGGGGCACACGGTGTCCATTTGTTCCAAAAAAGACCTAAAATACTGATTCTTGTGACCGCAATACATGTTTCCACTGTGTGATGGTCCATCCCAGATGCCTCTGAACCCACTTGGTGTAGTGCCGTCTGAGGGAATCAGAGAGCAGGTTCATCCAGCTTGGTCTGCACTGTAGAGGGTGACATATCCAAACCCCTTCCTATTTTTCTTTGAGCAACATTGTTTTTAAACATTTCAATCATTTTCTCATGCATACGTTGGCAAACTGGCGGTCCTCGGCCCATCTTTGCTCCTAAAGGGCTCAGCCTTTCTTGGATGCCACTTTTGCACCAAATCATGATGCAGTCACCTGCTGACATCGCCTGTTTCAAATGAAGTCTTCATTTCACTGTTTTACCTCATTACTGGCCCTGAATTAAACTGTCCCAACTTCTTTTGCAATTTGTTGCCAACATTAGAAATGAAGTGAGCGTTTATTTTGAACAAAGAATAAAACTGATCAAATAATTACTGCTGTATTGTTTTCAATGTAATACAGGACACAGATGATTTACACATCACCATTTTCAGCTTTAATTTTGATTTTACATACCGTCCCAACCGCTGTACAACCTAAATGACAAAATACAGTAATTTGTCAGTATGTACCAAAACAAGCCATATGTGCAGCTTTGTGTTTTCCACTTCTGTGATTAAGTTTAGGTTTAGGCAATTACTGTAAAATTATTAAATTTAGTTTAGGAAAACATTGGTGTCATGGTTAACAACCAACTGGTAGATGACGGGTTGAGAGGTTTCCTCCAGTTGAAGTCAGACACTTTTTGTGTTCATTCATTCACCTGACTGCCTTCCTCAGAGGGTTTTTTTTGTGCTTGTCAGGAAAAACTAAACAAATGATTTTAAATGTTTGAACAAACAGCTGTAATTGTTTTTCACATTTTCCAAATATATCATGTTAACAGTTTTACACACACGGCTGTGACATACCAATGTAGTCCTTCATAACCTGGGGGTAGTCTCCACTGAAGATGGGAGTAGCAAACCAGCCTAAATGGAACTGGATGTGTCTCTCAGCTGCTTCAATATCCCTCTGGTTGGTGATGTCCACTGGTTCACCCCAGTCAGCTGTTAGTGAGATCCCAACCAGGCCTGGACACACACAACTTTATTGTCCAACATGTTGGAAATTTATTTTAAACCACAAAAAAAGGGTGGGGTTGTTTGTACCTTTTTGTTTTCTTCGCCACTGTGTGTCATATGTGTGCCAAACTTTAGCATGTGCCTGTTGTGAAGACAGAGAAAGCAACCACTAAATGGGCTTTGTGGTCAAAAGAGAAAAATCATTCAAACTAGGTTTTGACACAGGGCCTGTCTATGCATTTTATTGCAAACAGCAGCTGGTGTGCAGTAAAACTGGGAGTTTTGGTGTTGCCCATGCCTTAGAGCAGACAGAACAACACCAAACAGTACAAAAACCATTGTGTCCTCAGTCTTACCTTGATGATGTGATGTGCAGCTTTGTAAGCTCCTGTTCCCTTCAGCATCAGTCCTGGGGCATGTTCCCCAGTTTCATATCCCTCCACAGCAATTGACTGAAAACACAAGACAACACTGGCCGCTATACAAACACCTGTTCCCAAGACTATGAACGCACCATTTCACTTCAAGCCGACATACCCATGGATTGTTGAAAGTGACCCAGTGCTTCACTCTGTTTCCAAATCTTTCAAAGCATAAACTGGCAAAGTCGTTGAAGTAGTTCACCATGGTTACGTTCTGCCAGCCACCGTATTTTTCCTGTAAGACCTGAACAGTCAGAGTATAAAACTGTATTAGTACCCACACTGTAGCGTTCAGTCAGTTTAGTGAGTTCAGTGCTCACCTGAGGTAAATCCCAGTGGTACAGAGTAACAATTGGTGTAATCTTATTGTCCAGCAGCTTGCTAATCAAGTCATCATAATATTTGATTCCTTTCTCATTGATGTGTTCACCTGAAAGGGTTACAAGTGATAGACGGAATTAATATCAACATTCACCTAATGTGATAAAGCATACTTACAATAGGAGCAGCAAATATCATTTACAATATACAAGTTAACCATTTGGACGACCAAATGTCCAGACAGTTGTGAAGACTGTCCATCACAGGTTCCCAGAGTACAAGCTGATGTCTTTAGATGAGCCAACAATCTAAAACCCAAAGGTATTTAATTTACAACAGAACTGGGAAAAACAGCATATCCTTACATTTAAAAAGATGGAAACAAATGTGGGCATTTTGTTTGGTGAATTACTTAAATGATTAATTGATTTATCAGAATTTTTGTTGATTTTCTGGCAAATGACTAATTAATAAACAAATTGTGTCAGCACTGATCAGAATAAACAGCAAGTCAACTATTAATAATACACAGTAAGCAAAGTCAATCCAATACACTAAATACTGTTAAAAAATATTTTTTTTTGCTAAATATTTACTTTTCAGTCCACTTGGTAAAATTCTGGGCCAGGAAATGGAGAAACGATAATGATTCAACTTCATGTCCTTCATCAAGCCAATGTCATCCTGTATTACAAACAACATAAAAACATTTTCAAATTGCTGCAAGACAAAACCAAAAAAGAGTATCTTTAGCTCTGGTTTTCAAACCTGTTTGTTTTCATGATAGTCTGGAAGTAGTACATCTCATAAACAGAGTGCCATCACATGTAAAGGACAAATTAATTGTTTAACAAAATATCATTTAGCTCTATTTAGGTGTCAGTGAGGCATCTTTTCTATTAGCATATTGAACTCAACATATAATCTCTAATGCTGTGCAGACAGAACACTATTTTAATGGAACATTTTGAGAAATATGTGCAGTAGTTTTGTCGCCAAGAGTTAAGACAAAAGATTATTATCGCTTGTTTCATGTTTGTATATTAATTACGCAGCTGGAGCCATGAGGTTATTAGCTCAGCTTAGCGTAAAGACAGGAGTGGAAACCGCTGTCCAAAGGTGAGAAATCTGATTGGCCAATTAATGCTTTTTTCTTTTATTATTACTTTTGGTCAGTCCAGTTTCTTAATGTTTCCTGGCTGTTGCTTAATGTTGTCAGACAAGGAAGTGGTATCAATTTCATGTAGCTGGTGGCAAGAAAGTGAATGAACAGGTAGCATGTATGGAGAAAATGCTGCACAAAATGTAGAATAATTCCATCTGATGTAATCAGTAAATATCAGCGTAAACAGCAAACGGCTTCAGTGAAGAGCTGGAACGAACTGATACAGTGTGGAATTAAACGGCAAAATTTGAAATTAATATACAGCGGGAATTTCTGGCACAACTTCACCCACTGTCAAAGTATACAAACAAGGGAAACTGGAAAACAAAAGTTGATTTTTACTTATTCTTAATTTCAAATTTAAAACAAAAAGTTTATGTTAAGGAAATCAGCAAATGTAGTTAACTATAACAAACACTAGCAGATACAGTACAGAAGCCTTTTCTCCCCAGATTCTATGGGGACATGGTTGCAGGATAAGTATGAATCAACTCAAAATTTAATCTGGGTGTAACACTACATAGCTAGTATTAAGCACTGCTGGAGGCTTACATGCTTGACTACCTTCTCCTTTTCTGGAGAGGAGCTACATCTTTTTCTACACGTCACCTTGAACTTGTAGTAGCCTTCACAAGAGGAGTCTCCTGTGTCATTTGAAGATATTTTCCCCTTTTTGTGGGAAAATATATCCCAAATGCTCATTCCTTTGCCATCTACATTCCAAGCGCCTTCGGTCTGGTAGGCAGAAGTGCCAGCTCCCCAGGAGAAACCTGCAGGGGAACACAAGCTCAATGGCTCGGTCAGCATGTATGAGAAGCCCCCAGAAAGTGCTCAGAAAACAATGATAGTTTGAGCATCTTCATTAAAACTCCATCCGCTGATGAAGATCATCAGCTACTAAATCCACTTGGTAGTGATGTTATTGTCAACCACTGTTGTCAAGGTTAAAAATGAACTTCCAGTGAAATCAGTGCCTTTGGGGCAACTGGAGAGTTTACTCTGTTGTGGACTATTTAGTATTTTATCATGTGTCCTACCAGTTGGGAACGTGCCGTAATAGAAAGTAGTTCTCTCATTCTTCATCCAGTCAAAGTCTTCACTGGCTAAAACCCATAGCACCAGTGCAAGGACATGGTACGTTGTCAGGATGCACTGCTGCAACATTAGAGCTTAGTTTCTTCAGTTACACCTAGAAACAATTAATGAGCCAGTTTGAATGCAGATTTCACTGAATGCAGATTTAACTTAGATTTGGACAGTTCAGTCTGCTCTGAGTTAGTTAGGTTGAGGACAGTTCACAGAATATACAAACATAGTAATGCAAAGTTAATATTCAGAAGCTCACATTCAGGTGTCCACAGGTCTTAGTAATACCATCCTAAGTCAGTCCCTAAATCTCAGGATCATTTGTTAAATAGCCACTGAAAAAACACCCAATCATTGTCAGAACTCATGGATATGAAAGAAGAATCGCGTTTCATTTCGGCCAGCTGTAAGAAACGCTGACACAAATCGCTATCAGTGACGCTAGGTAAGCCAGCTTGTCCAGGACAGTCAGGATGAGAGACATTTCAAGCTTCTGTGCTGTATATATTCACTGGGGCAAAACCAAGATTCTGAAGTAAAAGTGGGTAAAAAGTGCAAGACTGCCAGTGAGTCCTGCTGTTTCTCTGCCTATATCTGTCCTCTGCTCAGTCTCTATCTAAGCCCCAGCTGCCTTACTCAGAACCACATATAGATGTCTAACCTGCTGCATTTGTGTCCTCTGGAAACTGCTTCAAAATGCAAGAAACATCCCAACGCTTCTGGACCTGGATAGCTGTCTGGCATCACCATCTGGTTCACCAGCAGTGTTAAAAAAAAAACAAGCATCCAATACATTCACTGCTATTCACTGGCCCACTGACCAGCAATACACGCACACGCCTCCACGCACACATTAAATACCACTCCATTTGAGGTCGGTGAAATGTGAACGTAAATGTGCTGGGGCAAACAGATCTTTTGGAAACAGGAAGAATTTTCACACTGTAAGCAAAGTTAATGTGTCAGAGTCTGATTCACAGCAGCTCGTAGCACTGCAGCATGACTTCATACTGGAAAACAGAGCAGACGCTGTTCAACAATCCTCCTCCGTGTCGGGTTCTCCAGTGACAATAAAGCCTATTTATTACATATTTGTTCGCTGTACATTTAATCATGTTAATGCCCAAACCTGCTAATATCCATGGATAGAGCTTAATATACAGTTCTTTTTAGATTGTCCCCTTGACTTACACTAATGCACTGTAATACAGTGTATCACAGTACATAGGTACATATGCTCTTTTCTGTGTTTATTTTTACTGTATTTATTTGTTTTATGCATTTTTAAGCTTTTTTACTTTACAGTCTATTTAGTTTTTGTATATAATTTTGCATTTAAAAAAACCTCTGTGTTGTTTTTGTGTCAAATAGCATGACAGCCTAGAAGTACAAAATAGCAGGAATACCTGTACAGTAAAATATTTTTGTTGTTGTTGTTGTTATTGTGTCAGAGAGGGGCTTTGATGCCTTAGTTTAAGTTTAGAATTATAGCGGAAACTATGTCTTTTTTGTTTTTGTGAACAAAATAATAATAAGGATTTGTTGGACTGAATTCTTAAGAACAAAATACTGCCTCCACACTAACCCGTTTATTTAAAAATAGATTTAACATTTATAGTCAGTGTTGGAGCTGCAGTGTTTGGTCTTTAATAAAGACAAAGACATTCTTAAATATGAAGCAAGCATACAGTATTATAGTAATCCAATAGACGTCTCTATCATTGCTCATGTTGCTCTCATTTTATTGCACTTATGTACATTATTTACTGTATGTTGTTATCATTGCTGCTACTTCTGTCTTCTCTGTACATATGGCGCTGTATCTGTCTGGGAGAGGGATTGTCCTTCAGAGCTCTCCCTCTTCATACTCAAAGAGAGCTAAGAGCAGAGAGTGTCATACTGTATGTTGTTCAGATTGCAGAAATCCCTGCTATATGGATAAGGTTGACTTAGTGTGACTCTCCAGAATATTTAATTATGTACATGCCAGATGCTGTATGTAAGTGTGTCTACATGACATCACCGACAGTGCTCCACAAAAAGCTGGTTTTATTTGGCTGACTCAAAAAATAGCTTTTTGTGGAGCAGTCAGTCATCTTCTTTGGTTTGATTTGTGCTCAAGCATCTGAGGTCAGGTTTTTCCTGAGATGTGTAGGCATGACCTTCAGTATTCATCACATGACTAAAATTTAAATCTAAACCAGAAGGGTAAACCATCAGGTGTGCACAAACATGCAGCCGTCAGAACGGTGAAGTCTGATCTGTGCACTCGGGTTGTGTTACAAAACCACGGGTTGCTGTATGAGAAGCCCCCATTGTCAGTGCAGCACCTCTCAGGGTCATGACCTCTTCAGTGAATACAGTGTGCTGGAGCTGGCCCTGCACAAAGCATGAATACAACCATTATCATAAGGTGCGTTGTTTACAGAGCAGTGCTGTGACAAATGCTGAATTGGTCAACGCTAAAACTGATGGCACTGCACTTTGTGCACACAATTACATGACAGTGTGCAGTTTGTGTGTGTACACAACCTGAACTCTCTGCATGCTGTTTGTATATCTGCATGCACATATAGATTTCAATTGCCCCCTCTGTGTTATTGTATGTTTTTTGTGCTCTGCATGCAGTTACAGTGTTTGCAACTGATGTGTGTGTGTGTGTGCTGTGGCCAGTGGAGACAACGTGAACGTGATTGTGAGTTTAGCATATCACTGGGGTTCAGGCCCCTGACCACCGCTGCAGAACTGCTCTGTGCTTTCTAGGACCTGTTGGCTCACCTCACCTCGTTGTATTTAAGAGGCTTTCTTGTGGCCTCACAGAGCTGACATGAACATCTTTACTAAGGTCCCAGGAATAGCCCAACAAACCAGGTATGTTGAGAGTGGTGTGCAGCAACTGGGCTCACAGAGACAGACCCCCACCAACTTCAGAGGTGTCCAGGTTGGTGGGGTTGTGGTTTCCCCATTCCTCCTCCTGTGTGACACCTCCAACACCAGTTTGCCCAGAATCACCTGGAGAGTGATGATGGTTATAGGAGACATGCACACATACATTTGACACGCAGAATGATGGTTTTCAGTTCAAAAGACTAAAGCACTTAAAACCAGTATCAGTCCTAATTTGTAAAAATTGGTAACAGAAATTGAAAATTATAAAATTGCATGTCATACAAACATAGAGATACAAATTGCTGAAGGATGATTATGGGGAATAATTACTGATTAAAACTGTTCTGTATCTACAGCAAGCTGGGGTCTGTGTTCCAACGTGCCTTCTACGGGTCCAGCGGAAGGGTGAGTCGAACATATGCAGAATTATTTCATTAAAATGTTGGTGTTTTTGAACACATGAGATCTCTACAGATCCAGGGAGAAGACATAGAAGGGGGGAAAAAATTACTTGTTGACTTTGCCATGCAACCCCCCTCTAGAAATATAATTTCTAGGAGAGAAGGAGCAACGGTTTCCTCAAGACTTAAAGTGCCATAAAGCTCCACAGAGCAGTAAGAAATGGAATGTAAACATCACAGTATTTTTATCATATACTGTATTTTTCCATGTGGCGTTTCTGTGCTTAGGTGACTCTTTTTGAGCAAAGGAACTTCGCTGGCAGACGACTGGACCTGAGTTCTGACTGTGCCAGGCTCAGTGACAAGAACTTCCCAGAGAGATGTAACTCTGTGCAGGTGCAGAGCGGAGCGTAAGTCTACACCGCCACCTAAAGTGATCGACAAGTCACTGCAACACACTTTTGTATCTTTCACATAACATTTCAATGGAGCCTAACAGATTTGTCGTCACTTTTTTTATACCACTGACAAAGGGAAACTCCAAAGGTATAAATTATAGTTAATTATAGCAAACACCTAAATTCCAGTGTTTCAGGTGGGAATGTTTTCTTGATCTGTGTTTGAGCAGGATTAAATATACACAAATTTCAGTGAAGCTTGGTGAACAGTTGAGCCTTAGGCAAAGAAATCTTAGTGATCATACATACAGTATCACTATCCAAGATAAGAAACCAAACGGTATTAAATGAGGCAATTTGTGAGGGAAACGATGTCCAGACATCAAGACATAAAACCAGACTGCTGTACATTTTAAGGTTCAAGGTTGGTTTTGTTGTCTTCTGAAAGGAAAAATGATCTTGAATTGAAGGAACTGCATAGAAAATACACAATTCACAAAACTGCACTTAATAGTAATAATCAGAAGAAGAAACATACTCACATTTGCAAACACAGGCCTAAACTCTAATAATCATAATTCCATTTTTTCGAATCCATGTTTCAACAACATTTCAGTGACAATATTTTGACATATAATCTGGAACTGGTTAATAAAACAATATAGTCACTGAAATACTGTTCATATGTAACCATGATGTTTTAACAAATGGACACTTTTCTGCCACATTTAGCCTAGTTTTAATCTACAACTCATCCACTAGCACTAGTTTTGATTCATATTCCAGACAGATAATTGTCAGATTGTGGAAATTTCACCAGACTTCACTGAAATCAGATTTATATTTAATTCTGCTCAAAGACATGTCAACCAAATCTGTGCATACTGGTAATTTTAGATCAGGAGCAGCAAATATCTTTAAATACCTAAATGAAACTGGCAACAAGACTGTGCAACACTGGCAGTTTTTTTCTACTAGTAGCTTTGACCTGTTCACTGTGTGCTTCTTTGACCCTCCTTGTCCACTCTCTTAAAGATGGGTTGGTTATGAGCATGAGAACTTCCGGGGCCGTCAGTACTTGTGGGACATGTCCAACCGGGGAGAATACAGCTGCTATGACAAGTGGTGCGCTCAGGTGGACCACGTCGCCTCTGTCCGTTCTGTCAGACAGGTGAAACACATGTTACATACAGTCACTGCACATGCAGACAGACTCACAAACATGCTAGAGATATGGAGTCAATGTGTCTGTATTGGAGGTTTTGGTTTAACCCTCTGAAGGCACAAGAGCTGCAACAGCAATAGTGACATAGTGCAGTTTTAGAAATGACATGAAGCACAAAGCATGTAAAAAAACAAAAGGCTATAAACCCAATAGTTGTCCAATCTGACTTTTTAAAGAGAAAAAAAAGCTTTGAGTGTAAAATGTGTCGTACCAAGACAACATTTTAGATTACAGTATATTTTATTACATTTGTGAGGTATCATTACAATATGTATTAGATACCTGCTGCATATGTTCATGCAAAGGAAGAAGACAAGAGGTTAGGGAGTAACGATAATAGTGTATTTAAAAACAATAAGGCTTAGATTTAGGTTTTACAACATTTATTGTAATACTTATTGCTGCTGAGTTATAAAAGACTAGGCTAAGTCTGGAATAATTCACTTACCTATTAATTAATAAATGATTAAATGTACATTTGTTTACATTGTTTTTCTGTACATATACAGTAGCTACCCAGGAAGTATTTCATTGGTACTCCAGACGTATAAATGTAATTTGCATGTTGTAATCAAAAAGTTAAGATAAATAATTTGGATTGTTACACACACACACACAAAAACAATTTAAAAAGAAAACCAAAGTGAGGAACTAGAATTATAGATGTATATGTACTAAAAAAAATTCACATGTATTAAAAAAGAAATTTATTTTAGATGGTAAACAAAGAAAAATGCACAATGGTGTTGGACTTCAGAAGAACAGTTAAAAAGGTTTGGTGTGAAAATGTTACATGGCTTAAATTATCAGTATACTGTCAGAAGGTCACTGTTGAGCTCTACAGTAGCTGAGGGTAAAACAATAAGAGAAGGTCAGAAAATCCAGAATACACACACACACTCACTTTTTCCTGTATATTTGTTACTTTCAGGACAACAGCCCTGCCAGAGCTCAGCTGTTTGAACGAGCCGGCTTCTCTGGTAAGAAGATGGAGATTCAGGATGACATCCCCAATCTGATGAGTCGTTACAGCCTCAACAAAATTGCTTCCATCTGCATCCTCGGAGGAGCGTAAGTACAATATGCCATCTATTTGCTCTCCTTCTGGCGAAAAGAGTAAACTGGACTAACACAATGATGTAGCCGGTCTGAAACAGGAGCCGCTGAAAACCTTCTGTACATATACAGTAGTTCTTCCCTGCAGAGCAGCAGTATTTTTGTTTTGTTGGATGTTTGTCAGTACTCCAACTGCACAATACTCGCAAACACTGGATTATTACTGGAATTACTATGCTGTGTTACAGCAAATGTTTCAGGATTCATCAGAGCAGCCACCACCTTGATCAGTTAGTAGTCATACTGCTCAACATTCATGAATTTATAATTAAGATTACAAAGATCTCATCAGTGTTCACTGCTGATTACACACCGATAAAGCTCTTTTGCTTGTGTGTGCACAGGTGGGTGGCATATCAGGAGCCAAACTACAGAGGACCTCATTATGTCCTGGAGAAGCGTGATTACAACAACTTCTCTGACTGGAGCAGCCAGAACAGCACTGTGGGCTCCATACGCAGAATTCGCTTCAACTAAACACCAACATGACATCTCAAATGAAGCCTGTCAGCTTTACATACAACATATTTTAGTAATAAACTGTTTAAAGAACCTCTATGACTTTGAGACAAGTGAAATGACTATTGCCACAACTTGCACCAACTCCTGAAATTTAAAGACAGATCATGGTTATACATAAATCCCAACTAATCTCCTCTGATAAAGACATTGTGTGATGGGTTTATAGTTCAACCAAAGCCAGGTCCCCAAATTTACTCAATGCAGTAGAATGGTTGGCAAATTAGCATATGAATCTAAACAAGGCTGTCAAAAGGAAGACCTGAACTATCTAAAACATTGTTTCAAGAAAAAAATAATAATAACAACTTCAGAAAAGGCAAAGATCCATAAATCCTCTGTACTCCACAATAGTACAAGTGCAATAATGCACAATATTTGGAAACATTAAAATGCATGGAGTACAAGACACAGCTAAAGCACACAATATTCGTTGCCAAATGCAACAGAAGGAGGTAGAGAACAATTACATTTCTACCAAAACAGTAAAACTCTACAAAAGCCCAGAGGATCCAACCCAATAGAGAGAGGTAGAAAATAAAAACAAAAACACTTCTGAGTGTAAGTAGTGCAATTTCTTGATTAAAACCCTCACAGTTAAGGTGCACTGGGGGGGTCCATAAATCAAAAATGATTTTAAAAAAACATTTTATTTAAAAGCAGAAGTTTGTCCATAGATTGTGATCTGTCATAAAGTGCAAGTAAAAAAAAAAAAAAAAAAAAAAAAAAAAAAAAAAAAAAGACTGTGCTTCATTAGCCAACTCACCTGGAACTTTGTTTTCCCCTCATTTAAAGTCACAACATTTTTGGCAATGTGCTGCATGACTGGCTTCAGGTGGGCCTCATCATAAGTAGAGTAGTGCTGCTGTGTAGCCGACTGGGACAAGGCAGAACAATTTAGCACAAGCAGCATAATTATATAAAAAGCAGACACTCGAGGTCCACACTCACCCACGGCAGCCCGTTAAGCAGCAGCTGGGAGAGACACAGGGAAGCAGCAGCAATCTCAGAGGGCCGGTAGTGCACCATGTCATAGTCGAGGAGGGTCAGCTCCATCAGATACTTGGCCAGCGTGTGTCTCTCTACATCACACTAAAACAGAAAAGACTTGTAGTTTACAAAACTTTGCAGTACTAAAACTTGCCTCAGTGTTTGGACACATTAATCTGACCAGTTCTGGCAAAACATTTTTTTCCCCCCGAAGTTTTTCAAAGAGTTTCCTTCAGTATTTGCCCATAATTATTGGGTACAAGCTTAACAGCATGCAAACTCTCATTCAAGGCATTATTTAACCATCTGACAGGAGACTCAGCAGTAAAATTAAAATCAGATAAACAATTTTAGACAAAATAAAAATCTGCACTCCCACTCTGTTGGTATTCAAGGATCTAGAAAAATTACAAAGCTGCATTAGACTCTGACAAGCAGAAAACAAGCCAGCTCTTGTCAGTTTAGACCAAAAGGGCTGGGGCCTGCAAGTACCTAAAACACTGGCTGATCTAATAAGAGACCAACAATTTGCTTCAAGCCGAATCTGTGCACAGTCTGTCCATTGTGACTGCAGACAACTGACGCCTACATGGAGTTTTAAGTGCATTTTGTTGATCCATTTTAAACACTGCAAGGGAGGAACTCTTATCAGGCGACTGATTATTGCAGATTGACCTAAACTGAAAATATTGATCAGATACTATTTACGTACCATGTTTTAACAAAGTGTTAAATATAATTTTGACAAGTGTTCTCAGTAAATCTTCACATCCGGATGGCAAAACTCACATTAGCCACCTTTGAAGCCCGCCTGAGGAAGTGTAATGGAAGAGGACGTCCCAGCTGAAAATTAAGGCTCTTCAAAACCAGCTGCCCCATCTCCAGAATCTCAGACTTTGAAAATGCATTGTCTGTGATGTAGGCAAAGTCGCCGACTTCTGGAGCGTACATCTCCTCATATTTACAGGCCACCAGCATGGCAGTCACACCAACAAGCTGCAGCTTTCTGCGAGAGACTGGCTGGACCTGCAACACATCAGGGAAGGTTTTTTTTGTTTGTTTTAAATAAAACTGAGCTCACAAAAGAAAGAAAAGATAGCGAGAGGGTGCTTACCTGCAGAAAACGGTCCAGGATGGCAACTGTGAGGTACAGAGTCTCCGGCAGCAGCTGGAACCTGGCGTGCACTTGGACCAGCCAGTCGATCAGAAGAGCTCGCATGCGTTCACTGATTTCATAACCCTCCATGTAGTTTGGGCGTATAGCCTGCTGCACCTGTGGAAACAAACCATGCTTTAACACCAGATAAATTAAAAACGAAGCACATTTGGTGAGTAGGGGAATAAATCACCTCCAGGTCATGCAGATAATTATAGATGTCTTTGACATATTCGGAGCAGAGCTGTGGCAGGTCTGCGTCCTGCTTGTCGACATCATGCACAATGAGCAGCGCCTCAGAAAAAGCCTGGGGCAGTTCCTCCTCCTTCATGGACGCATCAGCCGACTCCTCTAAAACTGGAGAGAGTAGCTCTGCAGGTGCTTGAACCTGGACTACTGGAGGCACCACTGCACTGCGTTTTGCATTTAGGTCACAAGATGATTTGGCTGATGATTTGGATGGCCCAGCCCTCTGAGGGAACAGGTCAAATATAGTTATTTTTCCAAAATTAGGTTTCAGGTTTTCTGCTGTACAGCTTGCCTTTGTGAAAAAGAGCATGCTCAACTGTAATACAGGTTTTAACAAATTCCTTTACTTTAGCCCAACCGCAGTAATCTTCTGCAAGCGTATGCTACATGATCAGACACGTTAACATTTACATGTTCTTGATTTGCTCGTACACACACACAGTTTATGTTTCGTAGTCCATGGGGACTTTACATTGACTTACATGCATTTCCTGTAGACTAACCCCAACCTTAACCAGAACCACTACTTGTCTAACCCTGACCCTAACCTTAACCTAACCCTAACCCTAACCCTAACCCATGTTGCCACCCTAAAATTCAATTTCTTGCCCATGGGGACCTCAATTTAGGTCCCCACTGTGAAATGGGTCCTCATGAGTTGGTATGGAGTCAGGAAGAAGTCCCCACGTAGCAGGGAAAACACGTCCACACACACGAATGAGCCCAACACTGGTGATATGCGGTAAGGTCTGGTTCAGTGTTCCAGTTCATCCTAAAGTTGATAGAAGGGTTTGAGGTCAGGGCTCTGTCCAGGCCAATCAAGATGAGGCTGCAGTAACAACTATTCAGGCCATAAAATGCCAGATATCAGAAAGATTACTCAGAATTTTCTAAAGCTTAAGATGACATATGTTAACATTTTTCCACTCCGATACACAATTTTTCATAGAAGAACACCAGCAAATAGTTACAACTGAGAAGCTATGAACAAAGCCCAGTTCAGGGCTCTCTGCAGTCTTGTTGCATACTACCTCAAACCAAGTTAAGCTTGGAAGTCCAATTTTTTCATGCACCCAACTTTGTTTATGGGGCATTGTCATGTTATAACAATAAAGGGTATTCAATAAATTGTAGTCACAAAATGGCAGATGACAATCCCAAATGTAACTAAAACACCAGTAAAGCGGCATGAGGCAACACGAAGACCAGTTCATTTACCACACTGTGTCCCTCCATGATGTTACCTTTGTGTTGACTGCTGCTCCTGGAAAGTTTGTTATCTCTCCAAGAGCAGCTCTCCTCGCAGCTGCTGTGGTTTTACCCATCTTCCCTGGGTTCTCTGCGGGTGGGAGCTGCTAATAGTAGGAAATAAACCCCATAACACAAAGGGAAACAGAAGAAATATTGCTTAAATGTAAAGTGTATCTGCCAGGAAACAATTTTAAAAGCACAAGCGAACAAACTACAGAAGCCAAGCAGGGAACAGGCGGCCATGTTAGCTAACAACGCTAGCTAGCGAGCTAATAGCAACAGCCTCACAACCTAACACAGTATAACAGTTTACTTACCACAGCACGAATTTCCACAGACGACATGTTTCACGTCGACAGCAGCAAGGTGAAAATGTGACTCAAAGAAATGAGACGGATTTATTTTGGCATCAACCAACACAATTTACCTACCTGTAGGTAAATAAGACACGAGCAGGTTTCAAATAGCGCTCCGTGAAATCTGATTAGATACAGCTTTGGTATGACGCTACCAACGTGCTGACGTCAAAGGTACAGATTTTATATCAACATCAGTACTAGTACTACTACTACTAATATTAACATTAGAGAGTTTCTAACCATACAATTCAGACAAACAGCCAATTTTCTGACGCATCTCACATGTAAATCATATTGTCCTTTTGTTATTCATAGTAATAAATGAACTCAAAATTCTGATTTAAAATTACTGACACCAGATTAACCTTGAAGTGTGTATTTAAAAGAAGGTATTTGACCTCCACAAACTTCACAAAGCACAAAAAGAACAAAATGCACTTTATTGCATCTTTTCCCATCAAATGCATCATCTACAAATATAGGCCCAGTGACAGTGTTGCAAAGAGTATCAGGTCTCATCACATTGACAGAATGACAACAATCCTGAACTAATAGTCTAATTACATAACGCTGCAAATGCCTTGTCTTGACATAAGCTAACAAGTGGTCCATTTTGGCAAACTGAAGTCAGATAATTCAAGGTGCATTTCATTTCAGTGACTTTTAAGGTTTTATTAGGATTTAACGGTCTTATTTTTAGTCCATTACAAGCCATGTAATCATGATGAAATCATGTGGGCTTCCTTAAAGAAGACTTGAGCCTGAGAGCTCTCTTGGAGGCATTGGCATGGTCTTTGGTGCCTTTTATCTTTCATAAAGACACATTAAATTCAAGCAAAGTATCTGTGCTTAAAAATCAGTGATTCTGTTGATTTTCTATTACCTTACAGGGGAGCACAGGCCATACAAAATAACAGACAAACGCCTCTGCCTGCTCCCATTTACACATTTATTGAAACTGTGAATCAACATCACTAAATAGACATCCTCCAGGTAGACAACAGGCACAGACCTTCAAAATATCACAGACTGTAACAAAATTTAAAGTTTCATTCTGTTCCAGTCTGAATGTCTTTTATTTGTGTATTAAGCACATATACATCAATCTTAACTGCTGTTCCCTTCTAATAAGTGAAAAAAAGTCATTTCACCCAGAGTAATGATAACACCTTGCCACTGGAGGGTTTAACACGAGTAAACATTCCTGTAATCTGAAAAGCTGACGAAGATGAACAATTTGAGAGTCTTCTTTCCTAAACATCTGTGCTACAGGTATGCCTTCTCAAAACCATGGAACTGCAATACATAAACAGTACAAAAATACACAATCCTAATGGATAGCTGAATAATAAAAAGCTGCTCTTCATGTGATTTCACTCAAGCCACAAGAGTAATAACAATAACAGCGGGTTTAACAAGTTATCTTCTCCCAGTGTGATGAGAATACAGCTGCCTGGTGATAGGCTATATTTTTCTTACAAACAGTAGATTCTACAAATAGACCAAAACCAACATCCCGCCAAAAGTAAAAGTATTATGTGATATATTATATATTCCTCTGTGCAATAGAGCTCCAATGTTGACTCACTAGAACACCAAATCCAGTCGTAGCTGGAAAAACGAAAAATTTCCTGTTTGAGTGTCGAGATGTTTTAGGAAATTATGGAGCATTTCTTTTAAAAACTAAATTTGTGTGATGTGTTTAAGTGTTCAGTAGGAATCAATGGGCTTGGGGCTGCGAGCCAGACAGGCTAAGGACGTCAGCAAGTACAGAGAGGATGGACTAACACATTGTTGGTCTTTTGTGGTATTTTCTGACAAAAACAAAAAGTAATGAACATTTGTGGCATTGTCCTTTAAGGTTGTACAAATCCAGTAAAAATCCTGAAGATGAGGAATGAACCAAAAAAACAAAATTGATGCAAATGTTTGGAAAAAGTATTGAATTACCTAAAATGTTCTAAGAACAGACACATTCTCATACAATTGTGGAAGAAAAAGAAAAAATGTGAACTCTACAATGGGTGAAACAATGGCAGTAAAAGGAATATTGGCCTAAAACTAATTTATATTCAAAGGTGCCCTCTAGAGCTGCAACAATCAGTCAGTTAATCAATGGATGAAAAATTCTGCTACATCTATTGTGATAATCAACAAGATGGTTCCAGCTTCTTAATTGTGAGAGCTTCCTGTTTTTGTTGGCATTAGGATAGTAAACTGACTGTCGGACAACTAAAACACGCACTTTGGCTTTCCTATTTTATACAGTGATCAATCAGTTAATCAAGACAATAACAGGGAGATTAGTGATCAATGATGAAATGAATTGTTAGTTGCGGTGCCAGTGCCTTCAGCTATTTTTTATGCAATTTGTGAATTACATTAAAAATGTCATTTTTAATACAGAAACCAGTCTTTAAACTGATAGGCGGTGTTAATATATAGCACTTTGCTGTGATGTCACATCATTAAATCTTCATTTACTGACTTGAATTTGCTCTTGTGGGGAGATGATGAGACAAACAAAATAAGGAGGTGGTTTCCTTCAGTTTCTTTTCCCACTTTGAAGACTGATGGACTTTGGTTAGGAAGTGTAAGTTTTAACCGTTATTCAGAAATTCACTTGGATGGAAAAAAATCATTAGTTTTTTATTGTTAGATTTGCTGAAAACAGACAAACATTGACCCAGCGTCTGTGACCTTAACACTTATTGTGAAGGTACTGTGTAGAGTAGATGGCTTGGTTAGTTTGTAACCAGAATCAGTTGCCATCTTGAGTCATCTGAAGATACTCATTGTGTAATTTCTCCTGGGCCTCGTAGAGCTTCCGCAGCTTCTTGGCTTGTCCTTTGCTGAGCTCCTTACCTTCAGCATCATGGGTGGGGAAACCCTGTTAGCAACAAGAAACAGGTCTCAAATTCACTGTGATTAGTCACATTTTTGTCACAGTGTTGTGCAAATCTTGAGCCAAACCAAGTAAGAATTCATGCACATTCAGTCCACTACTGAATATCAGCAGTTTGGCATTTTAAATATTTTTACGTGCAAACCGAAAACATGCTTAAGACACATTTAGCAATGATCAGACTTCTCAAAGGACAGAGGATAAAATGATATTCATAAAAATAAAACCATGAAATTCAAATTTACACCAGGAAAAACAAAGTTCAGACTGTCACTCCACTGCAGGGACGACACTTACATATCACTGGCTTTGTTTAGGTTTGGCTCTACCACATTGAGAATACTTCCTCCCTTTAAATGAACTTTCACAGCTGCTGGTGCAAGACTACCATAAGTGCTACAAACTACAGTAGCTGTGCAGTACAAATTATTAATGCAAGTAAAAGTCTCAGTGTGCAACCAAGGCTTATTAAAACCTAAGTGAGCCCGTGCAGGTCAGTCAGGTGACCATTCCAAAACTTTCTTATGGCCCAGTTAAATATAATTTGTAAACTCTCCTTATTCAAACTACTACAGTACTTCACCTGGAAAGATCAACCCTGTCATGCTTTAAATACTTCAGCTGAAAGAGTGAAAAGGACATGTGGGAGTTACCATTTTATCAAATTGGGAATATTTATCCGTTTCCGTGCGAAACATTTCATATGGAGGCATCTTCATCTTTGCGAGTTTAGCCATCTGAAACAGTCAAAGAAATGAGTAAGTGAACATGTTCAATATGAGAGAAAACCCTCAATGTTTGTCCACAAGGCACGGCTGTGTCGCGTTCTGGCTGCACTCCACCTAACTCATGGCCCCAATGCCGCTTCGATCACCATGGAGAAAGTTTTACGAGTGGAGCATCATCTGTCTACAGCCACATTTCTACACACCTGCACCTCGTTTGTGGCTGTACCTATATATGACAACTAGATACAGGCCTTTATGCATATTTGCAAGTGAATTTCAACAAGAGTGGGAAAAAGAACCAGCATGCATCTCACGAGCCGAGTGGGCACACACATCCCAGACGGCATGGCATGGCATCGTCTCCAGCAGTGGGGAAGAAGCCAGAACAGCACACAGATGCTTGATGTGGACATGGTGGGTAAACTCCTCTATATAGAGCCATCTGACTGACCTCTTGTTCCTCTTTCTTCCTGGCAGCCTCTTCCTTCTTCCTTTTCTTCTCTTCTTCCACCTGAGAAAGAAGAAAACAACTGTTCACAGATAATCTCTTTATGCTATTACAGCTAGTTCGGGCATTTAAAAATTACCACTGAACTCATATTCAGAATACAAACAAATCCCTTCTCGGACAAACAGCTGGGATTTGTGAAGTGCTCTCTTCTAGTTTAATCAGAGAAGAAGAGTTCTTTGTTAGACCTCAGGGCAGGTATTATAAACAGAGACTACAGCTTGTATATTGAACAACATTTTAATTGGTTTTCTTTTCCGGGTAGACAGAACAACTGGCTCTCAGTTGAAATCTCTGGTCTTATAGTCATTAAACCCAGTTTTGAAGAGGGGCAGACTTATCGATGCCTTTTGAATGGGGTGGCTCTCATCTATCAAATTAGAGGAAATGCACCCATGTTTACAGTAAACAGATTTATCCAAACAGTAACCCAGAACCCTGGTGTGGTTTTAATTATTTGCAAAAGTTTTACAACCACCGTGATTATGTCAATAATATGGGGACAATTAAATAAGTATCACCACCCCTCCATTACCTTCTTCTTCTCCTCTTTCTCCTTCAGCAGTATCTCCCTGTCTACTAGTTTCACCACTGTGGGCAGACCTGTAACACAGTTTGGTTCATGACGAGTCAGACAAACTTTTATTTTCCTGCCACTCTTCATCAGGGACTTTTTATCCTTACAATTATTACAAAAAGACAAAGTACAACTGTGCCAGTCCTAATTCTTTTAACCTCATATATTCACCTCTAAAAGTCTGTTACCTTCATGATCTTCCAGTCGGACTCCCAAATCCGGCAAGGTCTCATCACGCACCTCATCACAAAGCTGCAGCAGCTCCATCACTGAATGAGTAAGTGCTTTAGTTAGACACTGAATAAAAACTCTGAAACTACAATAAGAAGTATTTTGATATTATGACAGAAGTAATTCAGATCTTCTGGAGAGGTTGTACCTTTCTGCTCTCGAGCGATTTTTCGAACACCCTCTCTGAAATCCGACAGCACCGTGAGGTACGGCACAACTGTGCTCTCCAACTGGCAAACAGTAGTGATGATAGTTTACTGTATGTCATTTAAATAGTGGCAGCTTCGAATAATGCTAAACTAAACAGTACGAACTCTGTACAATCGTTAAACTTGTACAATCATTAGTTTGCGACAAAGGAATCAAAGCCACATTTTAAATTTGTACTGTACATTTATGACAGATACCGACTGACCCATCTAACAAATGTAAAACAACTCTTGTTTGGTTGGACAAATTAAGTCCAAGCAATGTTAAATAGACTGACTAGTTGTTGTTTTTTTAACTGATAAATAAGATGTTTGAATGTTAGTAACATGATGTAGCCAAGACAAATTAAAGTGACCTTAAGGCTAAAACCACAGTAAATTGTTAAAACACTCAAATTTCAACATGATAGTTGCCTGTTAAGACACATTTCCACCAACAACAAAAATAGTGAAAACATTGAAAAGTGTTTCATTACGTACGTCAATACTCTGACCTTGTCCTCCCACAGGGAAACCTACAGGGTCCGATCCTTCAATGGCGCCAAATATCTAAATGACAACAGACTCATTTCAGTGGGTTTACTACTTATGCAATACACACTGCTTGTGTGGCCAGTGCACAAAGCACCACATGTATCAACAGGCTAAAGAAAGATTAAAACAGACTTCACGTGGTGTCATGGCTAAATATAAATGTACTCTCATTTCTCTACAAACGGTAAAATAAACTCAAAGCAGTTGTGTGCAGTTGACAAGTTCTATTGTGCAGCACTAAATCACAGCTGAAACACTTCCAGTGAGTGAATCACAACACTTTAGGGCTGTCACTTTTATTCAAATTTCAAACCTTCATTCGTACGTAGTAAGAAAAAACAAAACAATTTGAACCATAATGATCTGTTCGAATCCAACAATGTAGGCTATGTCAATAAGCCCAACAGGCCATTTGATGTCAGTTGCCTTGGCGTCCAGCAGAGGACCAGGATAGTAGCAAAGTTGTTAGTATAACGCTGCTCTTAAATTTTCCTCAGCTTTATGGACAGAAACACAGCACTCTGTAATGGATCTATTGAAACAAATCTTTCTTCAGTATTCAGAAAGTGCACTGAAGACTAGATGATAAAAGCAGTAGCAGCTGAACGTGCTCACCTTCAGCATGTTAGTGAGATACACAGCGATGCTTTCCACCAGCATGCGGTTGGGTCTCAGCTTGGCGCTCTTCCTGCCGGCGATGTAGCTGTTGCTCTGGTTGACCAGCACTCTCATCTCTTCCATGGCCGTCCGAGTGTCCATATTGTCACACAGAGCTTCATGCACGGCTGCCTTCCCCTTGCAGAAGCTAAAAAACAAAAGTCACCCTTAGCATTTGGTCTTGAACTAGTATACATTAACTGGTTAAAAGGTAGTGTGTGTGAACAAGTCCTGAGATGGTGACAAACTCTGGTGCAAGCAAGCATTTGGCTCTTCAGATGTCTCAAGCTTGTTATGAGAAGATGCACTATGCTTGGGAAGATTTCAGCAGGTTAAATGTGTTAAAGAGCTGCTACTTCTGAATGAATAACACACTCACTCCCCATCTTTGTGCTCCTACCTGTTGTTAAGCTCCACCTCTGCCGCTTCCCACTTCTCAAACTGACCTGTGACATCAGTAGGAGCACGCAGTATGTCTTTTACATTGAGGAAGAACTCCTGTCACATAGAAAGGGCACAAACCAACAGGTAATTACAAAAGAGACAGATCTCAGGATTAATAACATGAATAAACTACATTTTACACCTACATTCATGAACTTCTCATACTGGACGGCTGACTCCATTGTGTTGGAAGAGTAGTCCAGGGTATCCTTCCAGGAATGCATCAAGAAAGCTAGACGGAGCTGGCGAGCTGCAGGAGGACAAACAGAGGAGCCATTAAAATAATTTCTACCACCTTCATTTATTTGACACTGCAACAAAATACATGCTTGGAATTTAGTGTTACATCTCTCTACAATCTATGTTTTGATGAAATCATTCATCAGTAATGTGTGAGATAGAAGAGTTGTAACTGCTCTCTGCTGGAGCTTAAGAGGGAAAACCCCATTAAGCTCTGACATCCAGCCATTATCTATACCTCCTATTCCTGAATAAGGCTGCAGGGGGGGCTGGAGCCTATCCCAGCTAACACTGGGTGAGAGGCGGGGTCCACCCTGGAGAGGTCGCTAGTCTATCACAGGGCTGACATGTAGACAAACACCCACACACACTCTCACTCACTCCTATGGGCAATTTAGAGTCGCCAGTCAACCCAAGCTGCATGTCTCTGGATTGTGGGAGGAAGCACCCGGAGAAAGCCCACGCAGGCACAGGGAGAACATGCAGACTCTGCACAGAAAGGCCTCAGGTTGGCCGGGACTCGAGCCTGGAACCTTTTGCTGTGAGGCGACAGGACTAATCACCGCGTTGCTGTGCCGCCTCTGACGTACATTGTGATATTTACTAAGTTTTGGAGACAGTTTAGTAACATATTTACTGAGCCTACATAAAAAGAGGCCAGTTACTGTATTTTACATTTGCATAAAGGATCTTATGCCAAGCTGTTTAGACATGTGTTGTACATGTCTGGAGAATAATGGAGCAAGAAAGTGTTTTCTGTTGCTGAACTCAGAATATTTGGTGAGAAGAGCAACTGCAAGCAGGTGTATATCCTGCAGGAAAAATCACTCGACTACAACAACAGTGACATCCATCTGAACCAGATGAGGCACCTGAGTTCTTTGCCAAGGCGTCCTTGATGGTGATGAAGTTCTTCAACGATTTTGACATCTTGCAGCCTGCGATCGTCAGGTGCCCAGTGTGCAGGAAGTATCGGACCCAGTGATCATTCTCAAAGAAAGCCTGTGATGGAAATTAACAATAGTGGTGAAAATCTGTAGTGTACTCTCTCTTTTAGTGAATGATACTTTCAATATAACTCAGTTAATTATCTTTGACTACTAAGGGTGTGATGAGATCTCACGATATTAAAACGTGACGATACTTTCTGTCAAGGCAAAAGTTGTCTCAAGATATCAGTACACAACAGAACCAGAGCAGCAGCTAGTATGACTGATAAGTTCACAATAGTCCAGCAAAAGCTCAACCCCCTGTTGTGTTTTAATGCAAGGGGCTGTGTGGGTCAGGGGGGTGAATTTTGTAGGCGTGTATGATACGGCCATGTTATGACAAGTCAACATGAAGAACTGAAGAGACATTCATTACAAGATTCAAACTGCGCCTGCATTGTTTTGCATTTTGTGACAATTTTTACAGTCATATATTCTTAAAAAAGTGTTAAAATATCATCTCGTCTCGTGAGCCAAGCGTATCGTCACACCCTTGATGACTACTGTCTGGATGTTTTCTATACACTGTCAGTTAGGGGTATTTCATTTTATGACTTGCAACTATTTTTCAAACTCTGGTCATTAAAGAGAAACAAGAACAAATATTTTCTTCCATTAAATACTCCACAGCTGTACCTCAGACTGAGCCAACTCATTGTCATGATGAGGGAATCGGAGATCAAACCCTCCACCGTGGATGTCCATGGACTCTCCCAGGATAGAGCCAGCCATGGCTGAACATTCAATGTGCCAGCCTGGCCTTCCCTGTTATGACATTCAAAGCAACATAAATACTCATATCGAATAACTGTTTCTCCATAAAATGTCAGAGAACAGTGAAAACACCCATGTTAATTTCCCAGAGCTGTGGCAATGTCTTCAGTTTTGATGTGCCTGTCAGACCAATAGTCAATAATCCAAAGACATTCAGCTTTACTGTATATGGAAAGGAAACTTAATAGTTCTATACATCTGAAGAGCTGGAACTAGGGAATGTTTGACATTTCTGCTTAAAGAATGGCTGAAGTGAACAGGCTGCCACTTCATTTTCTGTCAGCCAACAGATCAATTCAGCTCTAGTATCAATCACATCAAAATTATAGACCAATCAAAATGATAAAAATCACTAGAGTCTACGTAAATGTTTCATTTCTTGTGCAGATTAAGAGAATAAAGTAGATGCTTTCGACTCACTGGGACATAATAAACCTGAGAAGTTAACTAATAACCTTGCAGTTAAATGAGCAGCCTAATCTTGACAGATTTCAGGCCCTCCATGCCGTCTTTCTGAAGACAATAGTCTGTGCTTTGTTGAAACAGGGCAGATTATAATCTCCTGTTAAAAGTCAAGTCTTTGAATGTTACGCTGGACATCATCTTAACAACACACCTACATTAAGCATGAATGCTCACCTTCCCCCAGGGAGAGTCCCATGAAGGCTCTCCTGGCTTGGAGGCTTTCCACAAGGCAAAATCATTTGGGGACTTTTTCTCACTCAGTCTGTCAGCGGAGATGCTCAAGTCTCCTATAGGGACAGAAGGAAGAAAGAAAACTGTTATAGTTTCAGTTTACAAATAAATACTTGAAGATATTCATAAAGCTTCTATAATTATAAAAATTCTACACAGAAATGTGAAGAATAAAAAAAAACTACAATGTTAATTGAAACATGGCACCATACCTTCTCCCTCTTGTAAAGCTTTCTGATCTCCGACTGCCTCTGGGACCAGTTTGGCATACGAGTGCTGCGGACTGGCATCGAACTTAGAGGTATCAAAGTACACAGAACCGTTTGACTCATATCTGTGAACATCACAAAACCAGTGAATTAAAACTATTGTGTTGTTACTGACAAGTTATGTGTAAAATCATTTGTACACACTGGCAGTTTGTTCCTCACCCATAACCATTTGAGACAATCCTCTTCACAAACTCCACAATCTCAGGCACGTATTCACTGACTCTAGTGAGGACATCGGGGGGAAGAACCTGGAGGAACAAAGACAGTTTATGTAGAACAGTCCAGTTTACTAGCCATGTGATGTACTACCTAACCTGTAAAACCAGCTGTATAATGTAAAAACTTTGCCTTGCATCTGTCTACTTGCTGCCCTTCTACTTACATTCAGGGCTTGCATGTCATTATGATACTCTCCCTCCCAGTATTTAGGCAGAATGGAGAAGATTGAGTTCTCTGTGACGAGACTTCCGAACTGTTTGTCCAACCAATCAGCCAGCAGGTCCTTGGAACTCTCCAGCAGCACCTTGGACGAAAGAAATGTTGTTAAAAATGCCTCAAATCGGTATCAATATACATTTTATTTTATATATTTCTTGTCATTTATTCCTATTAAAATCAACAAATGAAATATAAGTTAGTCTATTAAAAAGAAATAATTCACAATTGATAATATTAATTTGAAATACAGCATATTCCAGTCCAAATGGAAAAGAGCTCTTCATATGTTAACCAACACAGCTCAGTAGTTAAGATTAGTTCATCTTGTGTTTATTGCAAATAAACTGTAAATGTTAGACACTTTCCTGCAAAGAGCTGTGTAGTGTTGTAAACAGCATGAATTAAATATACAGGAGACCGAATACACTGATCAACAATATTACAGTAGGTAGAAAGTGCATATAAGTTACTTATTTAGCAAGTTATTTGTTATACACATACAAGTGCTCATTCTACATGGACATATAGGACACAAAAAAACTGGTGCAGTGGTGAAAGATTTGTCAGACAAGACACAAGTGCATCTCCTATCCATACACTTAACATCTGACACAAAAACGGTTCCTTTTTTTTTAAAGTCTAAACTATAACTACTTACCAAATATGAAAAATGCCCTGGATCATCATTCTGAAGTTTCTAGAGCTACTCCACGCTAAATGTCTAAAAGTCATTTTAAATGTAGTATTTTCTATCCTTCCAAAGAGAGGGAGATTACTCTTCAGATATAGATTTACAGCTCAGTCTCACCTGGGCCAGAGGTTGGATGACTTCATCAGGAGCAGTGACCCCCAGAGCTGCCTGCAGGGGCTGCAGAGCAGCAGTGACGGCAGCGTCCAGCCGTTCCAGCATCTGCTTCTTATCTGGGTCTGTCGTTGAGGCCAAATATGTCTGAAAGGGCTGAAAACAGCAGTAACAACACACAAGTGAGGATTTAAATGATCCCTACAGAGAACTTTCAGGTCATCTGATGTTTCAAGTTAAAGCTGAGCAATAAATTGTATTTGCATTTCAGTTAATACAGACGTTCAGTATCTGCTGTGTCTGCCCTGGTGCCTCGTATTCACAGGTAGAGTGTCTGACTAAACACAGCCATTTGACCTGAGCTGTGATTAACCAGTCTCTGCTTCCAAAGCATTTGATCAGATAAACATTACTGACCCACAAGGAAACCTGTCTTATCACAAGCACAAGTCAGTAGAGCTTAGCCTGGCTGTAGGAAAGAGAACTGCAACTATATTTTCTGTTTAGTAAACAAAATGAACAATCCATGGTTTTGTCTTGTTCTCATTAACCTCCAATACATGTGTTAAAGACATGAATATTTATTTTATCTAAAGAGTTTTGGCATCCAATGCAAGATTCATTTCTGCGTTTAGCAAGTACACGGCTGAAGTCAATGTTTTTGTTGGTTTAACTTCTAACATGTAACTCAAACAAATATTTGTAATTTAATGCAAAATAATCACAACGACTCTACTGTAACACACATTGTGGATTTAATCGTCATGTTTGCCTTAAAGCACAGATCACCCATGAGTTGTCAACACCCATTGCTGCACAAAAATGAGGATGTTTATGCCACAGAAGCTGTTATTATTGTATCAAAGGCTCAGTGAGTGTGGTCGTGCTGTACCTCTCTGGCACTCAGGATGTCCTCTAGTATTTGGGCAGCTTGTGGCTGTTTCTCCTTGTACTGGTCCAAAAGGTAGTTCTGACGGGCCCTTTTAATGATCTGAAAAAGAATACAAAGCCCAAAATAAAATAATTTAAAAAAAAGAAATGTAAAAAGATCCTCTTCACATTTGAAATAGTGGACATGTTATTTAAAACTAGCCTAGTTATTTGAAATGTTAACATCATTACTATTTATCCCTATAAAGCCCAACATATCCAAAAATAGCCAGAACATTCTAATTTCTTGGAACTGAGATGTTTATTAAACCTTTTAACAAAATCCAAAATAGAAAATTAGGATAATACTGTGGATAAGATGCTTCTGTGTTGATTCTGATATCACGGTTTAGTCTTCGGTTGGCTATAGGATGGCTAAAAGCTTCTATTCTATTGTACGTGTCCACATACAATAATACTTGGTGACTTAAATGCGTTTGTCTTCTTGTATTAAATACTGGCAAGAAAAATTTACTTTGTAATTGAGATGAAAGTAAGTCAGAGTCTTGACAGAACTTCAAACTGACAGTACGGCCAGGTTTAGAAAAATTATGTCAAGTTTATTTTCAACTTTATTGATTTAAAATAAATAAATAAATACATAGCCAGTAAAGAATAAGCCCCATTTACAAGCTACTGTATACTTACCTTGTCATCTATGTCTGTGATGTTCATGCAGTACAGGACATCATACTTGAAGTAGTCCCTCAGAATCCTTCGCAGAATATCAAAAGATATGTAGGATCTGAAAAGAGATTATAAAATAAAATGCTGAAGTATACTTGGCTAAAGGAACGTTAATGTGAATAGCTGTGAATGAATCTTTTCCAGCAGTGTTGTAGTACTCCAGTCCAGGACTCAGACTAGAGTCCAACTGGAGCCCAGATTTTCAGGACTTGTGACTCGACTCGGACTTGATCACTGATGGCTCAGACTTGGCCTCAAGCGCTGACTGCATGCAAACTCAAAAATTGAAGGTAATGACTTGGATTTTTTTTGTAATAGGCTATAATAATCTGACATAAGATATCGATATTAAAACCTGTTCATGTGCACCATGCTGTAGCCACTTCCATCAAGTGTACACGCCATCGTTCTATGAATATTTTTATTTATCAAATTGCAGAGCAATAAAGTGATGCAAGACATAAGAGGTTCCGTTAACCGAATATTTTCTTTAATTGATGGAATTTTTTGACAGAAAAATCTTCAGGCTGTCCTTCATTTTGTCAAATCACAACACAGGCGGTGATCTACACCAACTTAAAGTTAGGTTATAGGCTACTAAAATGAAAGAAAATCAAATTGAGGGGTAATAAACTATTATGAAATTTTTGTGACCCCGTCCGTCAAAATGACAGACAGTGAAAAAGTCTAGCGTGACCTCTGCAAAACACTGCTAGAAAGTTTGGAATATAAAATAAGAGAGCCGTGTCAGTTGTGATTAATGTAGACTCTGATGACTCTGACTCGTGTAACGGGGACTCAACTCAAACTTGACTGGGATTATTCTTCGATGACTTGGACTCGACTACAACACTGCTTTCCGGTGTGATGTGTGTACCTGGCGTGTCCCATGTGTGAGGCGTCATACACTGTAGGTCCGCAGCAATACCATGTTACCTTATTCCCTTTCTGGGGAACAAATGGCTCCTGAAACAGAAATTAATTAACTTTAAGAAGCTGAGGCTTTGTGTAGACTCATTTCATCTGTCCAAATGGGGCTAGCACCAATTTCAAATTAAACTGACTGTGATAAATATGAAAAACATTTAACATCAGCTTGTCTCTGAATCAACTGAATTGAATTGAAAAAGAATTAAAAAAAAGGAAAATTTTATATTTTAATAACTTATGGACAAAACTGACTTTTATTCAGAAGCACAGCTTTTTAATATGAGAACACAATGAGGTTGTATGGTGTTCTATTACACACTTCTCCTGTCATATATACTTATAAGAAGCCTGAATGAACTGACAACCTTCCTCTGCTCTAACTGTGACAACTGATTCTAGCAATTTTAGATTACAATACCACACAGTTTACAACCAACTCCTGAAGAAAACGATTATAATCAGGGGACAGATTAATATTCTGAATTTTACTTTATAACTGAGCTTACAGCAAATGGTATATTACTCAAAGAGGATGAATGGGAATCCTCAACACTCACTGTAAGAAGAAAGTGATAAGTTCAGTAGTACTGTAAATATCAAATGGCTGCTATACAGATAATAAGAAAACATCAGCTTATTTACACCCTAGCTAGACGAGGGTCTGCTGTTTGCCTCTGACCTACCTTTGCTCTTGTCAAGCTGTTGTAGAGGTGAAGTTGGGGAACGTCAGTCCCCGATGGTGGAGACCAAGGGGGCTGAACCCGCTTTCCTTTCACTGAAATAAAAATGACACACAAAAACACACACATTAAAACTCAGAAAGGGCAAATGTTTACATTCAATTAAATCCACTATATGTAAGATTTGAACATTTTTGCCCCCTTGCATCAGTAATGTGACATTACTGCCCTATCTACGACTGCAACCATTGATCTCTCATTATCAAATAATCTTATTTTCTTGATAAATCATTTAATAAAATATATTTTTTTAATTTCAAAAAGATTTTCTAGAACACACAATGACATACCGAAATATATTTTTTGTTTGACTATCAGTCCCATAAATATTCAGTTTACTACAAATGGAAAAAGAAAAAGAAAAGCAGCAAATATTCACATTTGAGAAGCTGGAGCAAGTGAAATTTTGCATTAAAATGATCTGTTTCAGCTCTACAGTGATCAGTAAAAAAGTATCCACAATACAGATCTAATACTGCAGGGTTTGAAAAAGTCAAATGACAAATTCAAATGTGTGTAATGAGTGGAAAAGCAACCCACAGGAGAATTTAACCACAAGTTAAACTGATTTTTCTAAAGCCAGACAGATTTTATCTAGTACATTAAAAGTTGTGTTTCCATTAAAATTCACAGTGCATCTTGTTTTCACTGTAAATAACAATAGAAAATATCATTTTAGTGAAACATAATAAAGATACTTTTACCTGTATTCAAGTTTGAACTAGTCTGGTTATAAACCTTTAGAAGAAGTCTTGACATCATCATGCAGAAAACAGCTGAACATGATTTCCCTATTTTAAATTAATATTTTCATTTGACCCAAAGACATGGATAAATAATTCTTGTCCTGCAAAATAAACACACCAGTGAACAGGAAAAGAAAACTATCTTCAGGCCAAATAATTTCACTGATTCTAGTTAAACCTATTTGCTATGTCACAATTTCCTATAGGCAATAATATTTGGCTCAAAGTGTGGGAAATGGGAGGGGTGCTCCACAGTCAGAAAATCTACTCATTTGCTTTGTCCATTAGTTAAATATAGGAAAGGTGAGGTATGAGCTTATTCTCAAAGAACTACAGCTATACGTGTTCAGTTAAGGAACATAAACTTTAAGGCCAGGAGATCTTTAGCTGTCAATGCTACACATGGCAGGCAGAAACACCCTGTCGAAACAACACCCAATATTCAAACAAACCTGCATCCATCTGTGCTACAAATGATGTCTGACTGGCTGTAAATGGCACACCTGTGTGTGTTTTCATGTGTCTGCAAAGTTATTTAACCAAAGGTGCTTTCATTAGGTAAAGCAACAGGTCAGTGGGCAAAACTAACACTGGAGTGTGGCTCGTCACAGCTGCTGTCATTTTGTTTAAACAATGACTAACTAACTGCTCAGTGCTTAGATACAGGCACTACACACAAGGTATTGCTATGACTGAGAAGGAAAGTAAAAGGAAAACTGAATTCATTCACATTCCTGCAAAGATCTGTGGGCTCATGCATCTCAAGGTTTGCAGGGGTTTGATAGAAATGCTTTTAGTTTAATAAGTGAGACTATTTCCTGCCTCACACAGCCTTGACTTCCGGTATGGGACCACAACCATATCCAGCCCGTTTGTGCCTTCCACTGTCTACTCACTGCTGCTCTCAGGGCTGAGGTCCTGCTGCAAGGCTGATATGTGTCTGTACCAGCGCAGAGCATGGACATGTTGTGGATCTGGGGGCTTGTGGAGGAGCTTAAAGGCTTTCCGGTCGGCCTGGGAGGGACTGAACCCGGCCAGGTAGCTGCGTGAGGTTAGGTAGTCATTCAGGGCCACTGCCAGTGCAGCCTCCTCATTAATCTGTAGCAAGAAGCCATACTCAAAGGCTGCAGAAACAAGAGGGCAAATATTTGCAAAGAATTACCGACTATGAGGCAACAGCCAGAAAAAACTAACAGCACCACAAGTTTCCCCTGGACAGATATCCAGTAACCACAAGATCAGACTCAAAAACTTTAGCAGCAGGTCACAACACATCCAAGTCAAATAATGTTAAAATTAAGTTCAAACCAAACTATGGTTCTACAGATTATGTAGATTAAACACACACACACACACACACACACACAAACACCTGATGGGCCAAAACAACAAACAGCCACAAAGCCATATTTTACCTTTAATATAGGAAGATATATAAAGTTGCTACCGAGAGTAAATCCTTCTGATTTGGCTCCTTTTTGTGTCATGCTGTAGCTTCACAGATGAATTAATGTTGTGAATGAATGAGTATAAGGAGAATCTTTTTAAACAGTACAGATGTTTAAAGAAGTGTCTCCTGACCCGCCCAAGTTCACACTGTCTCTGGCCATGGTGCTTACGATACAGTATTAAAAAAACAAAAAACAAAAGGTCAGCCTGCAGATACAGTAGTCACTGTAGGGCTAGGACCTGGACATGAAACAGAAGGAATCTGACACTACAAGTGAAAATGATTCTAAATGTTATTTCACATACAAACAGAAATCCTAAAAACACACAAGACAAGAAACAAATAAAAAAGTATGTAACATTCCAACAAATAACTTGTTTTGATTGATAAATCAGTTCAGCCTGTCTAATTCTGATACTGCCAACATCATAGACATGATGACCATGAGGAAGAATGACTGAATTTTCAACACCACACACTAAGAGTGAAACCCCAGTGGTCAAATTGAAACTGTTCTGGCTATGCTTGACTAAGACTGAAAATGAAACTAAGTCAAAATTAAACAGATTTAAACTAATGCATAAGGCAAGCAAGGTAAACATAAGTATAACTGCATTTACTGAAGTTCAAGAGTCTGACAGAAGAAGGTGGAGATGGAAAAAAGATGAGATAAATTACCTATAAATAAAGCCTTCATTATCAAGTATTAAAACAGTATGTGAGAAGGGAAAAGGTGAAACTTTTTCTTTTCTTTCACAGGCTGAGTTATAGTAGTAGCAGAAATAATAATGCATTTTATTGATTCAGTCATGTAAATTGCCCGTAGGAGTTATTGTGGGTGTGTGTGGTTGTCTTTCTCCAAGTGCCAGCCATGATGGACTGGTACCCTGTCCAAGGTGTACCTCGCCTTTGACCCATTGTCAGCAGGGAGTGGCTCCAGGCCTCCCACGACCCTCTTCAGTGCAATCAGAAAAAATTACGGATAAACTGATTCAATCAATTTCATGAGGTTCTGTTCTAAACTTTACAAAGAAATAAGTGAGGGGTAGTTCAGTTGTCAAATAGAAACTTAACACTTCACACTGGATGATGCAACTAAGCAAAACTGAAAATGAAAATTAAATATCTAAAATTAGATTATTGCAATGTAACAAAAACCATCAACATCAAACAATTAAGTCCTCAATAGATTTTTGAATATTCCTGTAAATATCATCAGGATTTAAGAATGTGGTTTTAATGAAACATCTGTCCAGATGTTTAGTCAAACCTTACACTCCGTTCAAGATGATGCAGTTATTACATGAACATACATTACCGTTGTTTGGTTATAAGAGCAGTGCCTGCCCTGCTGCATTTCATTGTCATGACACATGAAGATGCGCACACTGGGGCTACTCTTAAATAAATGGTACTCATTTGCAGGAGCTCTAAGATTGTGCAGAAAGGTACAGTACAATGCGATGCGATGCGTTTTACTGTACAAAACCAAATGTCTAAGTAAGCTCATTCAATTTTCTGAATCAATTGTAACTTGACATATTAATTTCTTTATGAAAAACTGCTCAGCACATTCAGAACCACTACTGAATGACCGCTGTGTCTGTGACCGTACATGCCGCTCCGTTAGCTACAAGCTTAAATCGCCAGATTTGTAAAGAGGGTTCGGCTTGGCAGTCACGGACAGGGTTACCTTTAACTAAGCGGCTCCTCTGCAAGCTCTGGACCACAGATTTTGATAATAGTTAGCTAGCAAAGCTAATGTTCGCTTATTGGCTGTGACAGTGTGGAAAAACACATTAAATCGTGCCATCACATTATTTTCTCGAATTTTCAACTAAAGACCGTATAAGGTTAAAACGCTCAGCATTTACTATACCTGGCTCTCCTGAGGTCGACATTACCACAGTACAGATCGGTCGGATGCTGATGCAACAATAACGTGTCCGGAAAACAACCAGTGCCTTAAATGCTATGTGTAGGAACCAGGAACCAAAGTGTGTGTATCCGAGAGAGGGGGACGCTATTGACTGTCGGAATATTCACGCGGAAGTTTGTTTAGTTTTGTTTTTGACAGCTGGGGTTAGAAGATATTAACCAACTCCTCATTATAGCTGGCATGTTCTGAACATAGTGGATAAATAAAGGGTTTATTTTTAAATGTGAAGTAAGTTAAAGCTGTAATGTCTCATATTAAAGAGTACATCGACAAACTGACTTGTGTTTATGAGCGGTACACCGAGTATGTGAGGAGAAACCCAGCTGCTACAGCACAGCTGGAGGGCACCGTGCGGACATTGTCGTACCTGATCGCAGGTCGGTGACAACAGTTTTTTCTCTTGATAAACAGACTGATACATATTGATACATAATAAAATGTAAACCAGCTTAGATACCATGTCCCTAGGTTGCTTTTCGGCTGTGCTTCTTAGTCACAGTGGTGGTCCCTGGGTCACAATCAGTTGAAAACTCCTGGTGTAAACGATCACTTTCAGTCTGGCTGCATGTCACTGAACTGAACGTTGCCCCAGATAGCGATTGTTTTCATTTTACAGATGTGTGCAAATGTTTGGGCAAAAACTTTTTGTAGCCGGCCAAGAATCTTTCTGTTCTTGTGATCTATGAGTTTTCACCCACCCTTCCTGCAGATCACTTCAATTTCTGACTACTGTTTGTGTGTCAGCCGTTCTAAAAACTGCTGCTTGTGCTTCTTGACATACTTCACGGTGAAATTTAAAGTTTACTTTAGCTCATTATCATATTGTAAAAGTCAGCTTTCCCTTTGTTGAATGACTTTGGGACATTTGCATCAAGAATTTGCTGATATTTAATGGATCTTGACGTGTGTCCTGTGCCACAGGCTGCCCACATGACCCCAAAGAATATTTCCACCCCAGTTCTCAACAGTTGCCAAAGTGTTCCTTTTATTCTCCAGATATACCTTTGTGTCTATTCAGATGTTACATTGCATCTGTTGCATCAGATGATGCATCTGCTCAGACAATGACAAATATTGTGATGACTTTTTCATGTAGACCCTATTTGTGCATCAGTGCTGCACTGTGGAATGGTGCACCAGCACCCTTGTGTCAGCTGCACTTTCCTGCAGCTCCTCTCTAGTGATATGGGGGTTTCTTTGTGTGTCTGCCAGTAGATGTGAGGTTTTCTCATCTTGATGTACACCGTTACACTTTTTTGACTATACATTTGCACACAACTGTAATTTTGAGAAACACGACACTTTCTGTAGTGTTTATGTTGCACATAATGGTTTTGGTGTTTGTAGCACAGCTTTGTCATGAATGTTGAATGTACTGACTCATTCTTATTTTTCAGGGAGATTTGCAGATTCCCATGAAATATCTGAACTAGGTAAGTAAAGATCAAGGGTCAGTACAGCTACTGTTTCCAGTATAGTTATTTCTTTACATTTAAAACCAGTAACAGTTTTGATCTCATTTCATTTAATTCATTTATTTATTAGAGACAACACACTAATTACATCAATATAATGTCTCAGCCTGACATTACCAGTCCACATTAAATACAGTTTCCTTGTCAAGTCAGTCATGGCACTGACTCTGTTTTTAGTGCCTTAGTAATGCCTGGATTCATGTTATCACATTTTAAAAATGGAAAACGAAAAGACTAATATCAAATTAGTAACTAATAGATGGATCCCATGAGTACTGAAGTGGTATCTATGGAGAGAAAAAAGATGCATCCCTAGCTAATGTTCAAGCAAAGATGACATTTTCTGGTTTCAGCTTCACAGATATAACACAGATAAAACATCACCATAGCTTCTGAGAAATTGCGATGGAAAACACATAGTTAGATAAATAATTAACAAATTAATATTGAAAATACTCTTCCTTTCAGTCCTAATAAAATTATCTAATGACTCTTTGATATTTTCCTGTCCTCATAATATGTCTACACTGTTAAGTTATTTTATCAACAGAAATATCAAAATTATCTTTCATATTATCTGTACTGGAAGTGTCTTAGGGTGTCTGCACTCTTCAGACTAAATGAGCCCTCTGTTCATGGCATTGTGTCTTTTTCAGTGTACTCTGCCTCCAATCTCCTGGTGCTGTTCAATGACAGCATTCTGCGCAGAGGCTTGAGATGTGCCCTTCCTGTGGTGAGCACTGCTAGTTAGTTTTCACAGCATCTTCGTCCACAGAGAAATAAGTTCTTGCTGGATCAATGCCAAACACCGATGGTGTTTATACTGTATGAGTCAGAGGAATGATGGCGACCTGATTTCACTGGTATAGATAGAATGGAAAATTCACCAGCTAACATGCACACTATGAAGCAGAAAATATTTCAACCATTCTGTTTATTATGTTTTGTTTAAATCTAGTTAAAAATATATCAGAGAAAGGAACAAGATGACTGCTTTGTTATTGGAACATAATTCAGTGTTTCCCTTCGTCCTTGAAGGAACAATGCTTCAGCTGTTCCAACTGGAGTAATAGACGGAAGGATATTCAGAAATACTTCCGTTTCATTTTGAATGCCTTGTTATTTCTGTGCTTCATACTGAAGGTGAAAGTGTTGGGTTAGTGATCCTGCCTTGTGTTTGGTTTGCTCAGTCTCTCTCCCAGCAGAGGCTCCTTACATGGTTGTCTGTGTTGGAGTATGTGGAGGTTTTCCTGGAGATGGGAGCTTGCAAGCTGTGGGGAGAAGTCGGCCGCTGGCTGGTGATCAGTCTCATTCAGATATTTAAGTATGATTTTCTCACCTTGTGACTTGTGGCAGCACTTGACGTCCTCTTTAAAACTTGGATTGCAGGAATTTAAAATGAAAATAAATATAACATTCAAAAATGAAATGAAACAAAATTTTAAAACATTAAAGCTTTTCTTGTTTCTCGGTTTAGCTTTATTTAAAATGGCCAATTAAGAACACAAATGTGGCCCAGTCCATATTTCCAACTTTGCAACAACAGCTTGTGTTTGGCCCTTCCCTGTTTCAACACGACAGTGCCCCCATGCACAAAGCCAACTACATAAAGAAATGGTTTCTCAGTTTGTCGTGGAATAACCAAACTAGCCTGCACAGAACCGTGACCCTGAATCCAGCAGTTTTGAAGATAAACTGGAACACTGACTTGAGCCTGACTTTATCACCCAGCATCAGTGTTGTATCTCACTAATGCAAATCTCTGCATCCGAGTTCAGCGTCCTGTGGAAAAACTGAAACGAGAACAATGGAGACTGTTAAAGCAGCACATAAGTGTCCATGGTTTTGGAATCACATGGTCATCTATCAGATATTGTATGAGTGTAATGTTTGACTTTGCACATATTTTTTGCCATGTTCTGATTAAGCACTAGCAAATCTGTGATACACCAAAGAGAGTACCCTGGTAAAATTTAATGTGTATGGGATTTTTTTCTACATTTTAGAATTTAATGTTTAATATAAACTCCATATGTTGTCATTTCTAGAATGCTGCTCTTTAAGGTAGTGTGACTAGTGTAATTAAATGACCCACTTGATGTGGCACTATGACACCCAGTTTCTACTCCTCTGACTAAATTTTCTTCTCACATTCATCTCCAGGGCAGTTTTTCGCATCGTGCTTCTTCTGTGGTACAAATCTGGCATCCAAACTTCACCTCCTATAATCCCACTTGACAGAGGTGCAGACTTTGTCAGCGAAGGTCAGTTATGTTGTCTTTCTCACTAGATATCTTATCACTTCATTCCAGAGAACAGTCTAAAATGTTTGCCCTTGAATGAAACGACTTTTTTGTTTCATCAAGAATGACAGGTAGTAGTGTCCAAACAAAATGAAAGTAAAAGAAGTTACATAAAGACTATACGCACAGTTCAACTTGAAGGGCTGATGTGGTCGGTCCGCTGCTTTTCCACTGTTTACACGGGGTGCAGGTTTGTGGCAGCGTTGATGTTTGACCAGTCAGGGTGACAGCCATATGAGCACCAACCCCCCTCCCCCTGTGAGTTTCTGGAACTTGATTTAGTTCCTGAGGGGTACAGTAATTTAGCTCCAGGAACTCTTCTCTAGAGCGGGAAGAGGGCAGTGAAAACAAAAGCAGAACCCAGTACTAGGTGAAAATTAATGAATTGTGCTTTAAAGTTTTCCTTGGAGTTCTGTTTACATTCAGTGTTACTCGCCAAAAGGCAATGTGTGTATATCCTTTAGGTCTAACAAATGGGTCAAGTGTATTTCCTTCATCATAAAACATTAGCAAAGTCTTTTTTTTAATTGTTTTTTTAGTATTTAAATTCAGCATTGTTTATCCATACTTACTACCTTGCAGTAGCCTTATTCTTCCCTGACTTTGCTGGCACAATACAGCACATCTTGACTTATTACCACTTATTACCATTATTATCACTTGTACATCACTGTATAGTGTGACACTGTTGGTAGGACTGTGTATGGCATCACTTGCATGCATGCACATGTGCACATGCACAACACAAACCAAACAGAGCCCACCCACTGTAACAGTTCTGTAGGGGTCTAAAACTCCACCGGGAGCCTTTACTATGCAACTTTTGGGAATCAAGCTAGTGTTAGATCTTATGTGTTAGCCCTCACTCCTGCTGCTTTTTATGTTTCTATCCTCTCTCCACAGATGACTATAATGGGGAGCAGCAAGATGAAACCTGCTTTGTGGGCCAGAGGTCAGGACGAGTTGTTAGGCCATTGGGCAGTGGTAAGATTTTTTTTTTTATTGTTATAGTTGATTCAAATTGAAATGTAATATTCTTATAGTTGTATTCACTTGACCTGAAAATTATGAAGCATCCGTGTGATCGAGCTGTGGTGTGATCTGAAACAGGGAAATATCTGGTTTCCTAAACAAAAGCCTACTGATAAAAAAGCCTCGTAATGCAGCTGACAGCCAGGTTACATGTGTGCTGCTTTGGTTGTTTCATGCTCACCTGAGGTTCTGTCCCTTTCTTGAACAGCTACTTACTCCCTCTGCTTGAGTCTTGCATCATTTTTTAAATAAAATTGCACTTTAGCTTATCCATTATCTCCTCTCTTATTTAGAAGGTAGCCACCAGACAACAATTATGTTTCCAGGGGCTTTAAAACCGTATTACAGGCGGAAAGTGGCCGTTTACTTTGCCTTAACCTTTAAATGGATTATGAACTTGGTTGGCTCTGTGCTGGAAATTAATAATGAAACATCAGCTGTTTGATTTATTAATTGATGTTGTGTTCGGTCATTTAATGTGTCGTACTCTGTCTTTCCTGGGTGACAGCGCCGTCCCTGCAGGCCCGGCTGTGGGGAGCACCGAGCCGGAAGAAGACGGGAAGGAGCAGCTTGAAGGAAATGCTCTACAGCAAACCGACACAGCTGGGCTTCCAGGAGACCATCGCTGAGTCTGTGTACATCGGACGGCCTCTTGTACACTGTATCCTTCACACACAGCCATCTGTCCAGTTTATGATTAAACTAGAAAAAATACATTTTTCCTCTTTATCTGGTTCTGGGTCAAACATACACATACTGGAGTAAAAGACAAGCATGGGATAGACTTGCCAGATATTTTATTCATGTAGTGCAGTATTTCATGAGAAAACTGGAGAAATGTACAAAGTATCTTACCGTGTTAAAAGATAAGTTTAAAATTCAATAAATCTGTAATCCTCTTTCAGTCCATAGTTAACTAAGTGTAAACTGACACCAAAGCAGCACTTAATAAGATATCTGAATGGTTACAGTTACATTTATTCATGTTTGATAAGCCATAATACAGAAATGAGGAAGTGCAGCAGAGAAACATTGAGAGGATAATAACAGGAAAACAAATCAGGATTCCTGTGGGAGGAAGTTGTCTGACCACAGTTCTGGCTGAACTGCACTGTGACTGAGGACAGCGAGATTCTCCTGCATCAATGGCACTGACCTCTAGATGGCAAGCTTGGAGCTGTGTGTTACCGTGTGGCCATGGAATGATGCCTGAAGCCGTGCGCTGTCTGAGCAGAGAGAGTAAATGGGGATGGACTTAGTAAAATGTGAATTATTCCTTTAAGACGCTCTTGTTCACGTTATATTTCTATAGATTACCAATAAACAAATATTATTACCTGTAGCCAAAAATACAAGTACTGAAGCCAGAAAAAAAAGCCTTTCTGATGCTGTTTGTTGTACTGTACCTTTTTAGTGTGTCCCAGCAGAGCCCTTTCTGTGACAGTTTTTCCTTAAAGCAATCCCTCCTGACTGCAGTACTCTGCCTCGGACTCTGTGGAAAACAGTCCTGGAAGCCGTGGCTCATCTCTGGAGTCCTCGAACTTTCCAGGTAAGCAAGCAACATGTTGTCCTCAGTTGCTGATGTGAAATGATCAGTCATTACATTTTGAACATCACACCTGCTCATTTTTTAGATGAGAAAATGCAGAATACTATGATTTTTTTTTTTTGGTAGTGAAGATTTTTAGATTTATCTAAATCCAGAGGGAATCCTAAAGTTTTAGGGCTGATTTTGTTCCCATTGGCAAAACATTTTTTTTTCTGTAAGGTTTCACGCTTCATGCAATTGTTTTCCTGTATGGTTTTTCTTGCTTTTGTTATTTATTGTCATTTATCTTTTCTGTTTTCTTAAAAGTGTCTGACTGGACATGTAAAAATGTTGGCCAGCTGTCTGCAGGCTTCTTTGTTACTCAAAAGAACAAATTGAATCGAGGTTTTGAGTTATATAAGAGGCCATGATCTGCTTTGATTTTGTATCTTGCGAAGATAAATAGCTTTTAGGTGATGCTATCAACAGGATAGATTTCCCACGGATGAAGTACAGTTTGATTTAAAATAAAAATAATTTTTAAAGCACTCATATTTCAAAACCTTCCCATCAAGACATCATAGAACACACTGGCTACCAAAGTCATTCCGCACAATGCAAGCTGTTTGTTTTATCTCGAGGAATTAATCACTTGAAAAGTCAGAATCTTGTTTGTTTTAAGATATCCACTGTCAGACCTCATAGTTGAACACTAAAGTGTGAAAACAATGCAAAGGAAAGAAACACCACTTTAGGATCTTGTTCTCTGTTTCTCAAAATCAACTTATGAGTTATTTTAGAAGTTTAATGACATGAGATGCAGCAAAGTTTCTCCAGTTTTATCCTGTGTCTTGTAGCTTTGCAGTGCTCAGAGACGCCAAATTTCAAAATCGATGGGAGAGGGCTGAGATGAGGAGACGAGCCTTTCTTTTGCTGTACTACCTTCTCCGTTCACCCTTCTATGACAAATACTCTGAGTAAGCGTCTCTGGATGTCTGTTCATGGGTGTGCCTGTGAAGTCAAGGGATACACCTGTAATTTATTTTTGTTAATCATTCACTTGATTATATTTCAATTAAATCAATTTAGTCAAAAGGTCAGTTTTGACCAATTAAGTTTAAAAACCAAAAATATTCAGTTTACAATGACATACAGAGAAAAGCATCAGTTGAATCCAGAGAATGTTTTGCTTAAACAATGACTTTATCAGAATTGTTGATTAATTCTCAGTTGACTACTCAATTATTCAAATTTTTTGCTGAAGTCAATATAGTTTTAAAGATTTTTTTTAAAGGGACAGTTGTTGACTTTTCGTTTACAGTTAAACTGTGTGTTAATAGTTGTGTTTATTCATCTGCAGAGAAAAGATTCTCTTCCTGCTCAGACTTCTGGCTGATCATGTTCCAGGGATAGGGCTTGTTGCACGTACGTACTCATGTCTGAGTCCACATATGAGCCTTTTAGAGCCCCAGAATGCATTTCTTTTTTTCTGCAGGTTTTTCCCTGTGGAAGTTAGCGTTAGATCCCAAGACTCAGGAGTAGATTCTGAAGTGTGTTTCTCCATAGATATGACACAACCTGAGTCTTTGATCTAACATGTACAGTCAGGTTCATAAATATTGGAACATTATGTGCATGAGAGTGGCTGTAATTCCTGAATGGTTAACGTCACACTTCTGTCAAACCCCTTGAATTAAAGCTGAAAGTCTTGACTTCGCTCACATCTTGAGTGTTTCATTTCTAATTCAACGTGGTGGTGTACAAAGTCCACATGCCAAAAAAACTTACCATTATTCCAATATTTATGAACCTGACTGTACCTTTTTGAAACTGAACCCAGAAGCTCTTTTTGACCACAAACTATTCTATAAATGACAGATGGGCGATAAATTAAAGGAACAACCTGAATAATTAATGCAGATGCTGGCATGGTTTAGGTCCACTTGTCCCATCAGAGGAAAAAGTCAGTACAAATCAATACAAAGCTGTTCTGAGTGATCACTTTTATCCTGTGATGAAACCTTTCTATCCTGATGGCAGTGGTCTCTTCTAGGATGACAGTGCCCCATCCACATGGCACAAAGGGTCACTGAATGGCTTGATGAATATGAAAATGAAGTGAATCATATGTTGTGGCCTTCACAGTCACCGGACTGTTTTCTCTTCTATCTATTCAGGCCCTTTGATGGATTACCTCCCCACCTGGCAGAAGATCTACTTCTACAACTGGGGATAAAACCTGCTGAATGTGATCAGGTCTCCAGTGTTTACAAGTCAACAGGGACAACAGCGAAAAAGGAACCTGTCAGACTGTGACTGCAGGCCCAGCCACAGAGACACTTGCCATAATTCCCCAAATCATCAGACAGAATTATGGGGAAATGTACAATTTATGCTCGACAGCGAGGACCTTCTTACTAGCATTTCTTGATTCTGAAGGCAATTAAAAAAAATCAAAATGATTATTTTGACATTTTCATCAATCAAAGAATACTTTTTCTCATGTTTTGTGGTCTTGTTTCTGACACTACAGAGCAGCAGTTTGACTGGTTGTGTGTCAGAAGCAGATCAGAGAACACCACTGTCTGTGCAGTGAAGAGTTTGCGTTGACAGGTTTGTAGTAGAATGGTTTTCTGAGCAGCGTTTTCTTCTTTTACTGTTTCATTTCCATTCTCGCCAAAAGTTCTGGCAGCAGTTTATCTGTGAAAATGGTTGGTTGTCAAGATTTATCTTTATTACATAGCTGCAAGGGAGAAAACTGAGATGCAAGCAGTGACTGAGAAGCACATTAAAGTTGTTCCCAGTTTTCTGTGTAACATTAGAATGTTTTCATGCACAAAGAGGTTGCATATTAAAACAACTGAGCTACTTCACAAAACCAGTGGAAGCAGATTCAACATAGTGAGTTTGTGAAGCAGCAAAAGCACATTTACGTGTGTGAGAGCTGGAGTCAATAACGGGAAACACATCAGACGTTTTCAGTGTTTATTAACATACTGATTTTTTTTTTGTAACCTACAAATAAATAACTGAATCTTTCATTCTTTCAGCCGTTAGTTACTTTTGGGACAGTTTAGCATGGCTGGGACAAAAACAGGCATGGCTTCACTAGGAACAACTATGACACTCTGATTTATCAAAGAAAATAACCCAGACGATCCCGTTAACTTGTTGAATGTCAAGTCTGCCAGGTTTGAGACAGGATGCATCACTGTCTGGTCCGGTTAGCGGTAACACCATGCCAATCTAGCCTGTCGCATTTAGCTAAAAAATACTCAAAGGTTTGCATGTGTTTCAACCAAGACACAAATTTTGTCTCTGAATCATTGGTCAGAGGCACAAACTTTATTTCTTATTGACCAATGTGTTTGAAACTGACCAGCTATAAATGTAAACTGATAAAAGTTAAACTACTGAGACTGCTGAGAGAGGAAAGAGGAAGCACCAACAAAACCTAGTTTTTCCCGAGTTGAGGTACATCAGGGCAGACTTCAGATTCAACCAGCAGGACCATCGAAGTGAAACCTCTGCCAGACTGTGAAATGAACACGTGCAGACAAAACGATGTCATTGTTTCATGAGCTGGGCCTTGTTGAGCATGTTCAATGTTCGTCCAATGTCGGTATCAAAACTGACTAATCCACTTGAAATGACAAATCACATTTGTTAAGACACGTCTTTATTAACAGCTACAGCATTTTGTGAATTATCTCATTGGCCTGCACTGTGCCTTGTAGCTGTTGGAAACATGACCAAACCAGAGGATTTGGTCTGATTTTGACCCAGAGCCACTTGTGTGCTCCCTGGGTTTAACCATTTTCAAAAGATTGATCATAAATAACCATAGCAGCTAGGACATCACATATTTGATGCCCCATTGTGAATTGTTATATACTTTCATCCAGACAGATGGGCGTAATTCCAAGCTCACAATATGCCCCTAGACAGTGGCCTTGCTTTGTGTGTGTGTGTGTGTGTGTGT